ACCGTTTCTCGGGTCATGTGAGATGGTCCATCTATATGACGTGTCATGTCCACCTCATTCCAGTCTTCCAAAGCAACGTAATCCACACCAGACCGTCTTCCACATACTTGGATGTACCAATCCTCCTTCTTAGCGATCGCGTTCACGCGGATCGCCATCGAAAAATACCGGAGATCGCAATTGCGTAATTTCTAGGCCATAGTTAACTCCACATAGAACTGCAAACTCCACCATTCACTGTTTTCCATCCCATTTGCCATCATCTCGAAACCTTTCTGCGAGATCGCGATTCATCAATATTGGCCATTTCGGACTTAACCGAAAATATGCGATCACACTTTGCCAAATTCACTCCTTCGCTTCGCCACACCGCAGTTCGGAAGACCAGCGCGCAGGGTAAGCTGTGGTGAAGTGCCAAGGGATATCAGAGCTTAAAGAAAATGGAAACAGAGAGCAAGAAAGTTTATGGTCACTTTCCCGAGGGAGTGACCACAACACGGCCTCGCAGATTTACAACCTCACACCAGGCCCCAGCTTTATTATGAATATAAGGACCCAGACGTGCAGAGCCAGCACAGGCCCCAGGGTACCATAACACCGGGGTCCGGGGTTCAGGGTCCAGGGTCCAGGGTCCAGGGCCGAGGGTACAGAGCCCAGGGTACAGGGTCCAGGGTACAGGGTACAGGGCCCAGGGTACAGGGTCCAGGGTACCAGGGTCCAATGCCCGAGAATGCAGAAACGGTACATTGAACCCCGAGGATTGCAGAAAGTACAGATACAAAAGGGCCAGTTATTTCCTCCACGTGGCGCTATTCAGAGCAATGGGTAGGGTTAGGCAAGAAAAGCATACAAAGTATAAGATAAGTAAACACATTTATATTGGCTTTACACGTGGCAGCTTCAAGTGACTCCTCTTAGATTCTACGTCGCTCCACCTCTTCCGGGCGGGATACCCTTTGGCCCCCCCGACGTCAGCAGGTGTTAGACGGCTCAAGCTACGCAAGTTAAATCTCAGGATTTTTAGCCTGAGGTTTTAAGTAAGTGTCAATTCACCCACGACCCGCTATCGGAAGCGGCCTCCCTTACCTTACGTTCCGGGAGCAAAGTAAAGGTCAGGTGGTTGATACCCCTGAAACATGAAGGAAAAGGCCAGGGATGACAAGCTCCCTGAAGAACTTGGCTCTAAGTCCACTCTCGACAAGGTCGATCGGGTGGCCACCTCCGGCCCATCGAGTGAAGCACATCCACTCGAGGCCCTCCAGGTCTACCTCCCCCCAGGCAGACGTCTACATCCTCACCAAGTCTTTCAAGAATGCAACCCGCCAGCCGACGGGTACACAAGATGAGATGAAGGTCCATACGCGGCATCGGTTTACCCCCTCCAACAGTCGGCAGTCCGGCACAGTGAGTGGCTTGAGGTCTCATCATACAATTTTGAGAACCCGCTCCACCACAGATAAATGTCACGAATCTTTGACTTAAAGATCTTCCAGTACGGAAATGCATCAGCGTTTGCCATAAATGCAGAGTAAGCCCACTCTGACGTTTTGCCACGCAAATTCGACATGGCATACGACACCATTCTGGTGTCGTCTTCGATATGCTGCGCCATATCGCATTGCTCCTCTGCCAAAAGCCAGTGGACAATCGTATGTGATGCAGTCCCATTAAACTTCGGAGGGTCCATCCGAATGGACCTTGGCTGATTACGCCGGGCAGGAGCGTCTCAACAGTCCTGTTGAGCACCTCGTTCCAATTTTGCTCACGCAAAAGCTCATCCTGAGTCTTATTGATGGACTCAGCCGTGGCTTGGCTGTTTTCCTCGGACGCGTTTCTACGCTGTCCGAGCACAAACGCCTCAAATTGCTCCAACTGAGCAACATGTTGCTCAGAAGGACAATACAAGAGGTTGTTCAGGGCTTGTTCACCAAGTCCCTGCACCAAGTGCTCTGCCACCTCCCTATGATGTTGGGAGAGGTGAGAAAAATCTCCCCAACATATTGAGAGACATCCGTATTCACACGCACGCTCAGAGAGACGGGTCGTGGGAAGGACTACTAGTGCTACCAAGTGTAGACGGGCACTTCGTAAAGAAGCTGCCACGTTTTACGCGGGAACAACTTCAAGCAGCGCGAGGTAGCGGTTATACCGTCTTACCTCCGCGTGCGGTGGTGGTGGTGTTGGTCGGCGCTTAAAAGCGCTGTACCAACCGTTGCCGGTCACTTTGAAGCGAATTGCGCAACGAATGCTAAGAAAAGAGCTGCATTTACGACACGCAGAAGCTTTTTCAGCTTTTCGTGCGCAGTGTGCGATGTTTAGTAGATTCAAGACTGACTTATATTTAATAGAATCTAAACTAATATAAGTTTAACTACTGATTGGTTAAATGTAAAGATTGGATACGCGTCTCTTTACAAGCGTATCCTTACTTGCGAGCTTAATATTACATTTAAGCTCGCTGGTGACGTCTGTTTGAAGCGTCACCATGATGTCCAGTCTCAACTGGCGTCATCCTCGTTGAATGTGAATCCATCCATGGATATCACATTCACGAGGGTGGGTCACAATGATGTGCCACACCCAAGTGAGATTTTAGGCCTGCCCGTTAAGTATTCGATACTTAACGAACCATGTAACTTTTAGCCCATTACAGTGGGTCACGAGGACCCTCCTCGTAAAGTGGCATCGTCGGCTCATTAAACGCGCACGGATCCATCCGAGCGCTAGTACCGTATACACTGATTCGGGTATATTCCGAGCAGATACGTTGGAGCCGCGTTCCTCGCTCTTCGCAAGATTTTAAACGTTGTTTAGGCAAATGAGTTCATGGAGTCAAGTGGCCCCGATGCGAACGCAGGTAAGATTGTTCGTGTGGTGCACGAGAACGGTGGGGCGATCCATGGGGTCGAAAATGGAAACAGTGTCTTAATTCACTATGTCGAGATTGAGAACAATGTTGAGAACGAAGACGTCGTGGTGAATGTGTACCACCACGACTACGAGAACGAGACCTTGACGAGAACTGCGTAACAGGACGGGCAAGCGAGCGTGTCGCCGCCCTGCGCTGATTATTCAGCGGATATTATCTCCGCTGCCGAGATTAAACGACGCCAGCGAAGCGCACCTCGAGTAAACGCAGTCCTCCGTTTGTACAGACTGACCTGTCTTCGACACTTCTTGCTGGCAAAATCCTTGTGGTGGAGACTGAAGGGAAGAAAGCTAGAGACGACTCGTGAGGAATTTGCTAGATTCCATTCAAGTTGACGTTGATCTACGATCGACTCATTGACCACCTTGCTTCCAACTTTTCTCTTCTAGCCACTTTTTCCTACGTCTAGTCTGCTACTTTGTTTTGTTGTGTGGACATATGGATGTGACGAGCTTACTCACGGACATGATGTGGAATCCGATACTTATGCAAAGTCATGAGCATGGCGACATTCACCCTACTGTCAATCCTTTGTCGCTGCTTTCGATCGGATCTACTTGTCATTCCGACTTTCGTTAACTCGTTGCTTTGCTACAGACTTGATGCAAAATAAAGATAAGCACTCGACTTGCCCCGGAACCATCATCTACGAGCTCATTTACTCCCCTGATCAAAACAAGAACTAAATTACTCAATCAGCGATGCTGTCAAGCTGCAGCAACGCGTTCGCAATTAGTGCGGGATGAGGATGATGTCAACTATTTTGCGAACAGGATGAGGAATCAGCTTTCCTTCCTGTGTCTAGCCTTGGGTGACGACTACCAGCTGTGCAAAGATGAGCGACATCAGCAAGGCACGAGCATTTTTTTTCTGTGTCTCGACAAGTGTCTTCCCGGTCTCTTTTCACGGTGTAATTTGGGTGTCAAGTGAAGAGATGCTCATGAACACGTTTGCATCTCTTTGACCTTGGGAAATGTACATTTCCGCTTGGGTCGTGCTACAGACAAATATGATCATCGAGCATTGCTGTAAGGAATACGGCAATACATTACCATTCTTGTGCGGAAACAACTACAAACTTCGACCGATCACAGCTCAAATATTTATTCACAAGAAGCTGGCAAGGCTAAAGAATAAAAAGTAGTTTATCTTTCAAAAAGCACATGGGATAAAACAGGAATAAAACTAGAATACGCGAGCGGCTTGAGCTTTGCATAGAAGCCGACGTCAGAGGGAAACATCAAGCTGCTCACAAAGCGCTGACTTCATAGTCGTCTATTTCGAACTCCTCTGATCGAAGCGTCGCCAGAGCAGGACGTGGCTTAGATGCCAGTGCTGGGGAAGGCATGGTGTTCGTCATGCTTAGTAAAAACTGGACGGTGATACATGCTTTGACGGGGCCGGCGGTATCGTGCGGGCCAGCTTTGGCGACGCGGTGCGTGTCGACTTTGGCGACATGGCGCGGGCTGGCTTTGGAAAAGGAGTGTGGGCTTTTGGTGTCGGCTGCTCGTCGCCTTTCACGAAACTGCCACGAGCGCTGTGGTGACGAGGCACGCCACCCTTACTTGTACTTCGAATGCTTTAGCCTCTTCTTCGTCCATGAAGCGGATGCTGCTAAGCACGTATTTTTTGTCCGTCTTCTCATTTTCAGATTCGAGTTTACAACATCCTCCTCGGTCACAGCCGCGTCAATAGTCACGCCAATGTTCCTTCAGTATCTTCACTTCAATCTCCAAGATGTTCTTTGTGAACTTAAGAAACTCCACAATCCACTGCTCCGAGTAGTGCACAGCATCACCTAGCTTGGCTTCGCTGTTGCTAACTTTGTGGCCGAAACTATTCTGGCAAGCGATCTTCTTCAAAATCTCCTTGAGAGCAGGAATACGCTCCAGCATGTCTTCATCCCGATTAATCTCCTTGCCCTTGTCCTTCTAGTTCTCAGTTTCCTTTCGCTCTTTGCTGCTCGAGTCAAGCCACTTCTCCATGCGCTTGATGTCACGCTCAATGACAATTTTCAGCCAGTCGATACGTCACGCCCCTCCTTCGTTTCTTTTGTCAGCGTTGAACTGCTTCACAAATTAACACACGATCTGCGGTCGTAGTAGTTGCAATTATTGATGAGCTTCTTGGCGGTCTCAAGTTCAGTCTCTTGTGGCAAAATCGGCTTTTCACGCTCAGACCGGTAGTTTCTGACCTTACACACCTCAGCGGGGGATTTCAGGTAATTAGCCTGCATCTGCTTGTAGCTTTCAATCAGCGTAGGCGCACGCTGCTCGATCAGGTCAGCCTCCGAACCGCGCACCTGCGACTCCTTTGCAAGCGAAATCTTATCAGTGGCGCACAGAGCACTGTCCTTGCTCTCCATCCGCTCCATGAAAGCGTTGATTGAGTCAAACTTACCCTCGAGCTGAGTGGAGCATGCTGCAAGCTCCTTCAGCAGAAGGTTCGCCAGCTTCAACAGCTTCAGCCAACCATCAACGCGGCTTCCTGAATGGTGACATCAGGATGGAAAAAGTCGATTGCAAGTCCGTAAGTGCGAGCTCGAGGATGATGCTGCTGTTGCGGCGTTGTAGAAATACGAGCGCACGATTGTTCTGTTGCTTTGTGCTGGCTTCACTTGAGTTGAGGCTTACTGTCAGTGTCTAGCGCTGTTTCTCAATCTCCAAATGTTTTTCCTACATCGTCGTTCTTCGACGCATTTTTCGGCCATTTGAGAGGCAAATACGAGCGCGACGACATAGACCACTGGACGGCAACTCGCTGAAGGTCAGAATGCAACCACCGGTCAATGTAGGTGCTGCTTGGAGTGAGTGTGTCGTGGCTTACAATTGCATTTGCCAATCGATCTCGTGAAACTGCTTACGCCATGCACAAGTCTTCTTTCACGTACTTGATGGCAGTAGCAATAGAACGAGTTGCTCCACATCAATGAATGAAGTTCGTAGACGGTGTTTCCAACCTTAGCTCAAATGCTTGAACTACCTCCGTGCGGGAAGACGTAAAGTTCGACAGAGCGGAACAGGTCTTCCCTACTTTAACAGAAACAGTGCGAAGAACGTCTGTGTCGATCTGCATCTGTTGTATCCATCACGATTGAATTGCAGTGTCGTTTTGACCCTGCCTGATATTGCGGCGCATTGACAGAGGAATGGATGACAAAGCCTTCGAGTGCGGCATGCACTTAACAGGACAAGCTCGAATGAATTAGCAGCTAAAGCTGTTGAGCTCACAATATCCATGAGCTGTCACAGCATTAACAGTTGTCACTTCATGGCTAAGATTGCGGTGCCGGGACACAGTACGGACCAGCATCACATAGACGACGCAGCGTTATCATTTTGCTCTGCCGACACCAGGCGTAGGTACATCGTGAACAACTTTGTTGTGCAGTGTCCTTGGTAGTCCCAACCTTTATTGTAGCGGAGCTGCACAGCTCTTTAGCCAGAGGAAGACTTTCGGCTGGAAGCCTCTTAGTTCGAGAGAACTAAATAGAGTTAAGGCTAAAAGCCACTTAGTTCTAAGGAACTAGTTATTCGACGTTAAAGTCACCCTCTTCTAAGGAAGTAGGAGGGACTCTTAGTCAGCAAGCAATAAGCTTAAGGTTCAGAGGACCAACGCACAGAGTGCAAGAGCAAGCTAGAAGCTTAGGGTTCAGAGAACCAACGCACGAAGTGCACAAGAGAACAAGTCAGAACGACTTGTGGTCTTAAACTCAAAAGGAGAACTGATTTTATTTATGCACTAAGATATTATGAATAGTCCTACTTTAAGTACACTACACTAGATTAATTACTATAATAGTAGTTATTAAATGCAGACTTTGCTATATCGTCTTAACATCTGTGTATGATGTACTTAATGGAGCGTTATCGATTTATCGAATCCTAATCGGTAAGATACGGTATTACCGAATACCGTATCTTAACGCTCATACTTAATACCTCTCTAACGAGAGGTATAATAATGCATTATATGCAATACAAAGGAGAGTTTAAGCGTAAACTCTCGGAAAGACGTTACAACCGTCGTGTAACCCCGTTACACCCTCCCCCACCAGACTGACGTTCCCATAGAAAGTCACTCGACATCTTTCCTCATAGAGGTAGTGCTTTAGCGAACTTTTAAAACCTCACGGTTTGTTCACGGCACACAACATGACGCCTCCCGGCAGTGAGTCACAGACTCTTAGGGACCTCATTGAGGACGACCTTGACGAAGCGGTTGATTACGAAAGTGACACCGTCTTTGTGGGACCCGATGGGTCCCCTTTAGCCATGAAGATGACACTCGTCATGCACCGAATCCGTTCCCTGAACGTGGTGCAGCAGATGCGCTAACAGCGTTACGTGACCCGCCTGACGTATCATCAACGGTAACGGTTACCAATCCACTCGACGAGCAGCAACAGCGGTCCATCGACCAAGAGGAAGGCGCCAAGCGCCGAACGAAGAACATGACGCGGCTGCAGGACCACCGACAGTACAGGTTCAAGCCACCTACGGTGGAAGAACGTCTAAAGGAAGCATCTGGGCATTCCCTTTCTGGTTGGACCATTGGGCCTGAGGCCATTTCACCTGAGGATGTTGCCACGCGCACGGCACTTCGACAACGATATCTGAAACTCCACATCACTACACAAAGCCAATACTTGGCACGCCTTAATAGGCAAGTGCGCGGTGCGCCAGTTCCTCCCATAAAGGGTGTTCCCATCCTTCTGTTCGCAGGGGAAACCGAGGACGAAGAAGACACGGCTTTCAGCCGCTGGGCGCATTATGCGCGACGTTTAAGCAGCACGGGCAAGCGCCGATGTGGCAGATATCCGACTTGAGCGGAAGATGCGATATGATTACGCTAAATTGAAGGCCCGGGGGAAATTGAAATCCCAACGAACGCATTATGCGCCTGCTGCCCAGCAGCCCAATGTTTCGGCTACCCCTGTAGCCGCGAGTTCACGACAGCCCGAGGCCGCTAACCCGCCTACCCTCACCATTACTGGTGAGAAGCGTCAGCGCCAACAGGCAGACCCTGCGCACGACGCTCAAAAACGTCCACGGCGTATGGGCAGTCCTGCCGAAGGGGAGTCTCAAACTCCCATGAATTACATGATTCGGGATAACCCCGCCATTTTACCAGATACTGGTTTTGACCATGGCGGCGCCGCTTCTGCAGTAGACGTTCCACATGGAACTGCAGGTTCCCCTGAGCATCGAGCAAAGGAGGAGGAGGCCGATGTATCGGCACAAGCTCATGCCGAGCTTGTTCAGGAGGTGCGGACCCTTCGTGAGGAGAGGCAGACGATGAACTCCCGGCTTGCGTCCCTGGAAGAGAGTCGGACCCGAATGCAGGGTCAGCTTGACATGTTGGCGCAGATGCTTCGTCCCGCGACAATGCCAATGGGCTCGGCGCGAGCGCCTTAATGTTTACTTGGGACGGATCCCGATAAGGTTTCAACATGGCGACATAGAACACAGGATGTGTACGCAATTTGCGCGGCAAGTTAAGCGTATACGCTGTGCCTTTCTTGGCAATGACCTTAAAGGGTCCGATAAAGCGCGGACGCAACTTCGTCTTAAAGACAGCGGATACTACATTGGTAGGTAGGTTTTTAGCATTAAGTAATACTTGGTCTCCGACCTCATAATCATTAATACAACCTCTGCCTTTCGCATCTGCATATTCCTTTTGTTTATCTTGACTATCAGCCATTGCATCTTGCACATGTCGTAAGACATTCAGTCGCGTTGCGAGAAACGCATTTACCTGTTTCCTAACAGTATTAGGGCTGACATCAGCAAGCCGATCGGCAACCTCTCCCCCACCAAGCCCTGAACCACTCGGTGGTAGCGTTAACGGAACGCGTGGGTGTGTGAGACCATTGACATAGAACGGAGTGTAGCCGGTGGAGGCGTGCACGGAATTATTGAGTGCAAACTCAACTACAGGGAGCATAGAGCTCCAACGCTTAGGCGTTTCAGCACAAACGCTGCGTAGGATATCTTCAACAACGCGATTTACGCGTTCGGTTTGACCATCGGTCTGCGGATGATCCGCCGTGGACATGTCCAAACGGGTGCCCAGCACCTGGAAGACGGACTTCCAAAATTTACTCGTAAAACGAGGATCACGATCAGAAACAATTGCCACTGGCAAGCCATGTTGGCGAAACACCCGATCGATAAACAGCTCCGCTGTACCCACACCATCGATCGAATCTGACACAGCCGCTAAGTGAGCCATCTTGCTCAAACGGTCAACAAAGACCACAATACCTGTATTGCCATGCGAATCTCTCGGTAGGCCAAATACAAAGTCCATACTAATGGACTCCCAGCATCCAGTGGGAATAGGCAAACTAGCCAGCGGTGCTGCCGAATGGGGCGAGGGTTTCACCCGCTGACACATTTCACACGTACGCACATATGTGATCACCCATTTGTATAATTTGGGCCACCAATAACTTTGGCATACTGCCCCATAGGTCTTTTCACGACCCAAATGACCACCGATGGCGGTGTCATGTACCTCATAGAGGATACGATGCTTCAGGTCCTCGTCATGAGGAACTACAATACGCGGAGGATCCGCTACATCTGTACGATAGTACAACAGCCCCTCATCGATAGAATATCGATGGAGGCTTGCACGCAATCGTGCCGACAATTTAATGTCCGAGTCTTTAAACTCCTCACTGCCAAGAGCATGTAGCAACGCTATACAGTGATCATCTTTAGCATACGCCGTACGAATGAGATCGGTGATAGAAGACGACAACATCGTCACATGAGCAAGCTCATAATCAGGTCTGCGTGACAACGCATCAGCCAAAGCATTTTGCTTGCCCGGCTTATATTTCACCTCGAAGTTATATTCGGCAAAGAATGACAGCCATCTGGCCATTCTCTGCGAGAGATGCGGCGACTGAGTCGCAGTGCGTAACGACGCATGATCGGTATAGATCACAAAAGGCTTTGAGCCCAGCAGATGAACTCTGAATTTGACCAGGGCATACTTCATCGCAAGTAGCTCTTTGTCGTGAACTGGATAGTTCTTTTCTGCAGCTTTCAGCTGGCGAGATTCAAAAGCGATTACACGCTCACGGCCTTCATCATCTGATTGTAACAGAGCACTGCCAATGGCAAAATCCGATGCGTCACAGACGACGCTAAACGGTCGGTCAGGGTCTGGCAAAGCCAAAATAGGAGCATGTAGAAGGCTTGCCTTCACTGCTTGAAAAGCATTTTCGTGTTCGGCATGCCAACACCATTCCACATCCTTTTTAAGGAGATTGGATAACGGCCGAGCCATATCAGCGTAATTTTCGCTATACTTGTGTAAGTAATTGGCAAGGCCAAGCCATTTACGCAAGTCCTTCTGAGATTGTGGAACAGGCCAATCGACTATGGCTTTGACTTTGGCTGGATCCGCTCGTAGTCCTCGCTTCCCAATGAAGCACCCTAGAAAGGGAATTTCTTCGGCCCCGAAGATGCACTTAGAGGCATTAGCACATAATTTATTAGTGCGCATGCACTCGAGCACTGCTCGTAAATGAACAATATGGTTCTCAATATCTGACCGCCCATGTTCAGCTCGGCTATGGACAAAAATGTCATCAAAATACGTCTGTGCATAACTTCGATGGGGTCGAAACAATTGCGTCACCAAACGGTTAAACGTAGCCGGAGCATTAGATAGCCCCTGGGGCATCACTAACCACTCCCAGAGCATACCGCTCGGAGTACTAACAGCAGTAAGCGGAATATCACTAGCTCGCATGAGCAATTGGTAATAACCATCGACTAAGTCGAGCGCACTGTACATGGTACAACCGACCATATTGTTCTGAAGAACATCCTTTCTAGGTATCGGTGTCTGTGCAGTTATAGTGGCCGCATTGAGCTTATTATAAGCATGAACAATACGCCATTTACCATTTGGTTTCTTAACACAGAAAGTGAGTGTCGAGTGCGGAGATTTACTTTCACGCACCATGCCCGCCGCGTGCTTTGCACGAAAGAACTCGTCAATGACGTCACACTGTTCTTTGGGTAAAGGCCACTGCCGTGTTACACAGTATTTGGTTCCGGAAACCAAGTCAATTTCATGACGTACGCCCCTATCAGGTGGTAGAACCGACGGTGGATCGTGACATACCACGTCCTGGAATTCCTTAACTAAAGGATAGTAGGGAACTGAAGGGTCCTTTAGAATAGATGCCCCACTACGTGCACTTAGTGCCGCTTTGGTATCTTCAAGGACTGTCTCATCGACAAGCGAGGATGAGTTCAGCTCGAGGTTAGGTCGAATGACCACCATATCGGACAGAGCACCTGCCTTCAAGGCCTGATGAAATTCATCCACAGACATTTCGTCTAGCTCTAAAAGAGCATTTAATGATGGGAGGGCCTCAAGGTCAACCTCACCATCTACATCACCTGTCACTCCGTTGACCAGGGTGTACAACTGGTCACTGACATTACTATGCGATAAAGCAGACGCTCTGCGTCTCGCAGCCGCCATCTGGCGACGCTGCCGTCTCATTGACGAGACCGTACTCTTCATAGTACTTGGGATATTATCACCCCCAAGGTCAACAGACCCCTTGTCATTTACCTGCCCTATGCGAGGGTGATGTCACTACCGACATCCAGTGTCTCAATATTACTTTTATTATCACTCAACGGAGTACGTGCCGTTCCACTAAGTGTCACTGAGCTCTGCTCGACACTATTATTGTTGACATCGGAGTTTATCAACTCAGACACTCCAATGTCCAGCACACTAACTGAATCAGTTAATGGCTCGCGCCAATAGCACTTTTTTTCTAGCGAAGGTGGGCATGACTCTCCAAAGCTTCGCTAGGAGCATTGCGCGTTGCGCCTAAAGTTTTGGATCTCCAATCGATCCACGGCTCGTGGCGTTCCAGCCAGGCCATACCGAGAATGAGATCATGTCTCGAGTCCAAATCTAGGACAAGACAGCGTTCAACGCTATTAAAGTCTAAGAACTTCACACCTAAGTTCAACGGAACTTTAGGAACGGTGACACGTATACCTGTTGCGAGGCGCACGGTTATGCTGTCACCCTCTTGCGCTTCTAGCGCCTCAGCATATAGCTGACTCCCTTCAAGGTAACGACGTCGGACATAATTACCCGACGCCCCTGAGTCAATCAAAATTGACCATGGTTTCTCAAACCCTTAACGGTTGCCGACACAACCAGCAAGCCTGGCTTGTAATTTTGTTCTATGGGAGCATCCACAGAACCACCTGGGGCTAAGACCTGTTTACCTTTACCTCCTAAAGATTCAACAGAACTTAGTTCTTTCCCAGTAGGGCGCCCCGCGCCTACTGGGAGTCGACATTTTCCCCTGCGGTGCTCGCCTTTTGGCTAGGAGCAGGGCTTCGGCTTTGCCGATTTGAACGTTGCTTTCGCAACGGACAGCTAGGGCGGAGATGCCTAGTGCTTCCGCACATGTAACATCTACGGATGCTACCTTGCTGCTCAGCAGCTTGAAGCTCAGCTTCTTCAGCATGGCTGAGGTCCATGGGTTCCGCCCTATCAGAGGTATTTGATTGATACCAGGGCAGACCATATCGAGCAGATCTCAAATTGAATTCAGCGTTAAATGCTACGCTTACTGCCTCCTCAAAAGTTGAAGGCTGGACACGGAAAACTTCCGTCCTGGCGACCCCAGTGCGAAGTCCCTCCATAAAAATGGTTACTCGGACTTCCTCTGCCAGTGGGTCCTGCTGCATAGCAGCAATGAGAGTTCTCAACTCTTGGACATAGTCCGACAATTCTTTCTTACCCTGTCGGGTAGCTAGGAAGCGTGAGCGCACACGATAAGCCTGATTAGGCGGTGCAAACACACAAGTTAATTGCTTTTTAAGCATCTCCCATGTGGGAAATGCAGCATTTACAGAGACACCGCTCGTTAGAGCCCACTCTCTAGCTCTTCCACCGAGCTTAGAAATGGCCAAGCCAACTCGTTGCTTATCGGATGCAAGCATGGCGGCATCCATTGCCATTTCAACTTCTCGGATCCAGAGGAGAAGGTTCTCTCCCTCCTTCCCCTCGAAGGTCTTTACACTTAAAACAAGTGGACGAGCCTTTGGCTCTGCATCAGTCACAGGTACCGGAATGTACTGTATAGGCGCGGCTGACGCTGCCTGGTCATGGACCTGCCCGAGTAGCGTTGCCTCATAACGCATAAAGGCCTCAAGACGAGCATTTAGAACCTCGGGGCCTTGGGCCAAAAGGGCCTCGATTTGATCAGGCCCGACGAACGCAGATAGTTTATCTAAGGCGAGTCGTTGTGCCTCAGAGAGGTGATTTTGATTCTCCATTCTCACAGAGGGTCAGTCTTTAAAGACTCAGGTGTAGGATTGACTACAAGTGCTACCAAGTGTAGCGGAGCTGCACAGCTCTTTAGCCAGAGGAAGACTTTTGGCTGGAAGCCTCTTAGTTCGAGAGAACTAAATAAATTTACGGCTAAAAGCCACTTAGTTCTAAGGAACTAGTTATTCGACGTTAAAGTCACCCTCTTCTAAGGAAGTAGGAGGGACTCTTAGTCAGCAAGCAATAAGCTTAAGGTTCAGAGAACCAACGCACAGAGTGCAAGAGCAAGCTAGAAGCTTAGGGTTCAGAGAACCAACGCACGAAGTGCACAAGAGAACAAGTCAGAACGACTTGTGGTCTTAAACTCAAAAGGAGAACTGATTTTATTTATGCTTTAAGATATTATGAATAGTCCTACTTTAAGTACACTACACTAGATTAATTACTATAATAGTAGTTATTAAATGCAGACTTTGCTATATCGTCTTAACATCTGTGTATGATGTACTTAATGGAGCGTTATCGATTTATCGAATCCTAATCGGTAAGATATGGTATTACCGAATACCGTATCTTAACGCTCATACTTAATACCTCTCTAACGAGAAGTATAATAATGCATTATATGCAATACAAAGGAGAGTTTAAGCGTAAACTCTCGGAAAGACGTTACAACCGTCGTGTAACCCCGTTACATTTATGCTCCTGTAACTCTCAATAGCCACGTGTAATTCGAGCTCGCAAAGATTACCGTTAACTTTTAGGTCGTCCACGACTTGTACCGGGAGGTCGTTTGCAATCCGTGCCAGGCACTTTCTCTGCTGGACTCTCGCTTGCACAATTCCATTCAGTAAGACTTTCAACTGGCTTTTTCGTGGTTGTACTGTTATCGTCGCTCATTCCAGAACGATAAGACTTGTTCCTTCTCACTTTGTTATTCGCTTCCAGCTCTTCACTGCTATTGAGAATGGCCTGCACAATCAACAAAGTTAAGCATCTGTTCTGGTACATGGTGCTAGCAACGGTCGTCGTCGCTTCGCAGTATGCACCGGCAAACGCGCGAGAAAAACGACAATCAAGGCTAAGCTCATCTATAACGGAGAAAAGTTACGGCGGTGACGAAGAAAGAGTGACTCCTTTTGAATTAAATTTTGGGCCTACGCTCGAAAATACGTTTGAAACATCGACAAGTGGCGCTACAGTTGACAAGATCCTTGAATCAAGCCTTTGGCCTCCGTCCGAAAATACGATCGAAGCATCATTGGCAACTGGTAATGGGGCTGACAAGAAAGCGAAAAAGTTGCCTAAGAGTGCCGCATTGGCAACTGGCGATGAAGTTGAAGCGAACGAGAAAATTTTGGGCGAGGGCGCCAGCATTATAGCAGCCGCAAAGAAATGCAAAGGTACAGAAAATACTGCCACGATTTTGGAGAATTCTCTGGTGCTGAAGTGGAGTGATGAAATGATAGTTCGCTTGGAGACAAATTTACTAGCTGGCAAGAAGGATGTATGCCAAATATTGACGGAAGTGAAGGAGGGGAACCAAGAAAGTGGGTTTGGATTCCCAATTCCGCTGTTGTTTGATAAGTTATCGAAGCACTTTACAAAACGAGAGCTAGCAGACGAGCTAGTTCTGGCGCAAGACAAGGAGAGTGTCAAGGAGAGTGTGAAGGAAACGGCAAAAATGTTGGCAGATTATCAAATGATGAAGTGGAAACATAAGAATAACTTGAGTGGTAAAGATGTCTTCAGACTTCTTGGGTTAAATACAGCAGGCATCGACAGTCCACTATATGAAACGTTTATATCGTATGTGGTAATGCTAGCCGGCAACAAAACTTCTTATCTTTTCAAGATTCCGAAATCACTTTTAGTGCTGAGGGATGAATTTACCGACCAACAACTAAGTAAGCTGTTCGAGGCTGCCAAAACTGGCCCAGGAATTACCCGTGCCTATAAGTTTTCTAATTCGCTTCAACTTAAGAAAATGGAAGAACTTAATAAAAAAAGCCGAAAAAGCGCAAACGAAACGACGGTGGAGCGCCAGTGCCGACAAAGGGTCAACGCAACGACGGTGAAGCGCCAGTGCCGACAAAGGGTCAACGCAACGACGGTGAAGCGCCAGTGCCGACAAAGGGCCAACGAAACGACGATGATCAGTAGGAGGAACTACAAGCCAAATTTGGACGAGGCTATACTACAAGCTAGTCATTACGAACGTGCGTCGTAGTACGATCTGGACGACGAGCTTATGAAAGTGCGGGAGGCTCCAAGTCACGAGCTGAAAAGTAAAGTTTGGACCTGATACAAGCGTAGGTGATGTTGTTGACAATTCAACGAGGTATTTCACGTGTAAAGATTTTGTTTTTTCAATAGCTTTTTCTCGGATTGTTTGAGTTGTCATCAAGTGTTTTCTATTGTCTTGACCGAACCTGTAACGGGGTTACACGACGGTTGTAACGTCTTTCCGAGAGTTTACGCTTAAACCCTCCTTTGTATTGCATATAATGCATTATTATACTTCTCGTTAGAGAGGTATTAAGTATGAGCGTTAAAATACGGTATTCGGTAATACCGTATCTTACCGATTAGGACTCGATAAATCGATAACGCTCCATTAAGTACATCATACACAGATGTTAAGACGATACGTCGTTCAATAGCAAAGTCTGCATATAATAACTACTATTATAGAATAATCTAGTGTAGTGTACTTAAAGTAGGACTATTCATAATATCTTAAAGCATAAATATAATCAGTTCTCCTTTTGAGTTTAAGATCGCAAATCGTTCTGACTTGCTCTCTTGTGCACTTCGTGCGTTGGTTCTCTGAACCCCTAAGCTTCTAGCTTCTCTTGCACTCTGTGCGTTGGTTCTCTGAACCTTAAGCTTATTGCTTGCTGACTAAGAGTCCCTCCTACTTCCTTAGAAGAGGGTGACTTTAACGTCGAATAACTAGTTCCTTAGAACTAAGTGGCTTTTAGCCGTAAATTTATTTAGTTCTCTCGAACTAAGAGGCTTCCAGCCGAAAGTCTTCCTCTGGCTAAAGAGCTGTGCAGCTCCGCTACAGAACCTATTTGAAATGTAGTTACTCTTACTATAAACTTGTCATCTCTGCTGTCCTTTAAACAACCTTTACATCACCTCACCTCAAGTAGACGAGCAGGACATACCTAGTCAAGTGTCGGTACCCAAAGCTCGTTATTTCAATCATGCAGCTTCAACATTCAGTTGCCACGGTCTTAGCTAAGCAGCGCGCGGATTGACGATACGTCGTAGTCAATATCGCGACTAGAAATGTGTAGATTGGGTACTGCGCGCACGCGGTTTTCGTCTGCATACGCACCGACGAGCAAACCTTTTCCGGCTTCAAGTTTCTGTGCCAGCGTCGTTGCGTCCAGCTTGGCATCCGAAGTCAACCTGAAAAAGGCGATGTTCGTCTCCACAGCGTTGGGGTCGATCTCGATGCCCGGAATAGAGGAGATACCGTAAGCAAAGGCCTGCGCATTAATATGATCTTCAGCGAGGCGGTCAAGCTGGTGCTCCATTGCGTAAAGCCCCGCTGACGAAATGACGCCGGCCTGCCGCATGCCTCCACCAATCGACTTTCGAAGTCGCGTCGCTTAACAAATAAACTCGTCTGAGCATGCCAGGATGGAGCCGACGGGAGTATTCACTAACTATATTATATGGTATCAATGAGCACCCAACCCTTGCTCAGACAGAGTGAGACCTCTAACGAATTCGTCCATTGGCGTCTTCGAAGCCACACTTGCGTTTGCCAGTCGTGCACCGTCAACATGAAGGCGCAGGTTGTGCTTGTTTCAGAACTGCTCGACTTCGTGAATGTAGGAGAGGGGCAAGACACGAATTTTGCGTATTCTCGAGCGCGACAAGTCTCGAGCGTGGATAATGTGGGTCATTGCTTCAAATGGCATTAGTGATGTCCTTGATAAAATGAGCTCCGTCCAGTTGGTTGGGCACTGTATGTAAACTCATCCCCATTACAGCAAAATGTATTTCTTTGCAAGACAAACACTTGCAATATCCGCAGCAAGTTATAAAGAGACATACACTCGTGCAAAGTACTCGATTGCTTGTAGTACTTAAGTCCATGAAAAACTTTGATACAGATAAGATACTAAGGAGGTCAGTCACCTCTTCATCTTTGCACAACATTTTAATTGTTGTTTACACGATCCTTAATAATTTTAACGATCATGAGAGGATACTTCTATCGATTTCGGCAACAACAAACTTGTCATGTTTCTCTGTTAAGAAGGGGGTCAAATGCAACCATTCCACACAATACAAACTCTACATCGAAAGCTACGTCGCTTTCGTGTACTGTGGGCTATGCACTAACCAACGCGCTAGCACGTACTTCATACCAAACGTCAGCACTGAGGGGAGCAAACTTACTCGTTCTTGACCATGTGCTCAATCAGATCCAACACACGCGAGCTGTAGCCCCACTCGTTGTCGTACCACGACACAAGCTTCACAAAGTCGTCCGTTAGGGCAATACCAGCCTCCGCATCAAAGATCGATGAGCGCGAGTCGCCAATAAAGTCGCTCGATACAACAGCCTTCTCAGTGTATCCGAGAATGCCCTTCATTTCGTTCTCAGAGGCCGACTTGATTGCAGCCTTGATCTCGTCATACGACGCAGGGTTTACCAGACGAGCAGTCAGATCCACCACAGACACATCAGCCGTAGGCACACGGAACGACATGCCAGTCAGCTTGCCGTTCAGGCTAGGAATCACCTTGCCCACAGCCTTGGCAGCACCAGTAGAGCTCGGGATGATGTTGAAGCAAGCACCACGGCCACCACGCCAGTCCTTGCTCGACGGACCGTCCACCGTCTTCTGCGTCGCAGTCACGGCGTGCACCGTCGTCATCAGACCCTCCTTGATGCCGAACTTGTCATTCACCACCTTGGCCAAAGGCGCCAGACAGTTTGTCGTGCACGAAGCATTCGACACCACGTGCATATTCTTCTCGTACAGCTCATGGTTGACGCCCATCACGAACATCGGCGCATCGCCGGACGGAGCCGAGATCACAACCTTTTCCACACCGTTCTTCAAGTGCACCGAAGCAGCGTCGATGGACGTAAAGGCACCAGTAGACTCGACGACGTACTGCACCTGTTCCTCACCCCACTTAATGTTGGCCGGGTTCATCTCGTTAAACACACGGATGGGTTTACCGTTCACAAAAATATGCTTTTCGTCGTGCGAGATCTTACCGTCGAAGCGGCCGTGGACCGTATCGTACTCAAGCATGTACTCCATGTAGGTCGTCGAGATGAACGGGTCATTGATAGCCACAATGTTAATAAGCGGGTTCGTGGCAGCAGCGCGCAGCACCAGACGGCCGATACGACCGAAGCCGTTGATGGCAACGTTCACAGCACCACCAACGTTGTCCCTCGGGTTCTGGGCGTTGATGATGTTTAGGAAGTCGGGCTTCAATGAAGCACCGCCAACAAGGAAGCCGTCAATATCCTTCTTCTGGGAAAGTTCAGGGGCGTTCTTGGCGCCTACCGATCCGCCGTAAATGATGCGAGTCTTTTCAGCAGCATCGACGGAAATCTTCTCCTTAAGCCAAGCTCGAATACTAGCGTGAACCTCTTGTGCCTGCTCAGGTGAGGCCGTGAGGCCTGTGCCGATGGCCCAGATAGGTTCGTAGGCAATAACGACATTCGTCCAGTCGTTAATCTCGGCGGCGTAGGCGTCGAGCTGCTCTGTGATATAAGCTACCGTCTGGTTCGACTCGCGGTGTTCCTTAGTCTCACCAATGCAGGCAATGACGCCAAGTCCCTTCTCAAGTGCATAGGCAGCTTTCTTGGCTACGACCTCATTGTTCTCACCGTTCTCACGACGCTCGCTATGGCCCACAAGCGTGTATTCGGCACCCAAGTCCTTAAGCATTTCGGCCGAGGTCTCGCCCGTGAAGGCACCGTTGCCCTGTTTCCACACGTCCTGACCACTGACACGCACATCAGTGCGCAGCGTGGCCTTGACGGTGGCGGCGTGCACCTGCGATGGAGCCACAACCACCTCCACATTAGCAGGAATCTTAGCCGTGTTGAGCATGTTCACAAGTTCCTGGGCTTGGCCCAGCGAGCCGTTGCATTTCCAGTTGCCACCGACAAAGAATTTACGCGAGCTGCTGGAGCTCATTTGACGCGTTTGCGTCTTTAACACTTGACGGAAGGCCATGATGAGTTGCTATACTAGAGATGAAGAAGGATTATCTTGTGACTTGGATCGAGAATCCGAGAATGAGCGGCTGTGGATCACTCTCATTGTGCTTGTCATACATGGCATAAAACCTCGATTGCTAAGCAGAATATGGACCAACTATGTGTAGTTATCCAGTTTATAACCGGGCCAGCACAATGCTGCTTGGGGTCGAATTCTGCTTGGTATGTTTTGGATTTGCTCTGTAACTTGTCGATCTCGCAAGATTCAAGACCATACAAATTGTAAGTCGATTGTAATGCCTATGCTGGTCTATCGCAGCAGGATGGTGGTATCGTGATCGTTCATGGTTGGAAAATTCATCAATTGTACATTCAATATTTCAACACCTCAACAAAAAGACAAGGAACATCTAAAAGATGAAATTTATCAGTAATCTCCTAGTATCTGCAAGAGTCATGCAGCAATATCGCCATGTCAGTAAAAACTGCCAGCTACCTTATTGCACTCGGGATCCACTGGCTTCGTCTCATGAAAACGGCGAAAGTCAATCACAGCACCGCCAGTTTCTGGATCCACATCGACGCAGTTGACGTGGCGATGGTTGAAAATAATATCCTCTGCCCTGTACGAATGCCGCACCTGAATCGTTGCCGATGTGACGGCATCAATACCTTCCACAAGCACCACTACCTCCAGCTGCAACGCAGAACAAAACACGCATTGTTAGATTTCAATACAGCCAAAAACAATTAATAACAGTTTTGCGTACCTGAGACTCGGCCCAATACTGCTTAATCTCTTCAATTGTCGAGGACGGTGTCGTAGCATTCACATCATCTATCGTGCCATTCGTACAACGACACGCGTTATGGGCTGATGTTGTGGTTTGTTTGACTTGCACAGTGCCGTCGCGGTCTCCACTTTGGGCATCAGCCGCGCGGCATAGAGGCTCTGGGAACAAATAGCCTCTAGCGGGATTATGGTGGAGACCACAAGTCTCAGCACTCTTCGGTCGAAGCAGTGGACTCCATGCGTCCATGCGATGCACGACAACCGAAGGTAGCGCTAGCAGCAGCATACCACCAAGGTCGTCATCTGGGTGCTGGATGCGCATCGGGTACGATTGGAAGTAGTAGCGCTCGCCAAACTCCTCATCGTGTCGGATCGCATACATACGCACATGAGCCTCCACGAGCTGGTGCTTGCGCATCTCACACACCTGGAACATGAAGTACAAGTCACCACGAATACGACGAGCGCAAGCGTGCGTGCTCATCACAATCGTGTTAGCACGAGCTTGGGCACGCGAGAACCGTTGGAAAATGATTCCAATAGCTAATGCATCCAGCAAAATGCCACATAAGGACTCGAGTGTGATAATCGTCTGGACCCAGACACAATCACCAAAGAAAACGTCTCCACCATTGGTACCAAAACCAATAGTAAAAAGCACCGACACGGAGAAGGAAAACCCATCAAAGAATGAAAAGATGGCGAGCTTGCACTGATGAGAGGGTGTCATATACAGCACACTAAACAGAACAATCACAAAGATATACTGCCCATTCATACAATATCAGTAGTTTTTCACTTCATTTTGTGATACTCTTTCCATCCATGAATCAAGACGTACCGCAAAAACAAGTGACCCAAGTACTTTACTCAGCCGCATATTAACGACTGTATGAAAGGGGTCCTGCATATAGAGCTTCCAATAATGAGGTGCTTTATGACGACGAATGCTACAATTAATACAATACACAACCCTTTCATCAGCATATCTCGATCCTTGTCACACAATCGTTAGCCACTTATCACGTCAATACTGTACGCACTTCCATTGGCCCTTGGAACGTTTAAACAACGCGTCATTACGGTCCATAATACGTCCTGTAGTCGTCGGAATAGTGACGCGTTCAGAGGTGGTTGCACCGTTGCCTCCAATCAATGGACCCCCATCCTCATACTCGGAATAACTCGGTCCGTATTCCATTTTCATTGCCAAATGTTTAGTTTTCTTTGGTTTTAGTACTGACTCCTTACTCAGGACGACGTTTTTCTGAGGATGATGAAGACTGAATGGACGGCGAAAGTGGCGTTCTGGAATATTTGGTGCGTTACGACATTTGTTTGTGTTTACGTTAATGAAATCAAGTAATATCTGATTTAAAAATAGTATCGGAGTTTCGAAAAGAGACACGACGGGTTGCAAAGTGCACTTTTCTTTTGGGGACAAGAGTCCTATCCCACAATTGTACAACACTTATAGCAAGAAAGAAGCAAGCACTGTGTGAAATATACGTGCAGACAATACATTGAAACTATTTATGGCAAGTTATGCACACTACTTTTTTCTATAGGCATATACAGTCAATCAAGCAACTTTGTCAAATTAGTCTATTAATCGGTTCTCTTTGTAAATTATTTGTGAATTTGTGTTCAATGCAGGTATACTCTAATATTTCATTGCTTCTAAAAATCACATACGATTGTATAGTTACGCCTTGATATTTTGGTTTAGCGTTAAGGGTCTAATATATATTAAGGTTCTGAATAGGCCATCAATTTTATCGGGACGCAAATAGTACCTGAACGACCGAAAATTGGAAGTCACGTATTTGTTAAAATTTACACAATCATTTCGAAATAGTACTAAATTTTGCATTGTAGTATATAAACACATATAGTAATACTACTACTACTAATATGACTCGAAAATAGTATTCTTGTCTTACATTTCCAGACCATGTCGCTCCTGGTTCCAGACTACACTAGCTCGTCAGAGGATGACGACGTTTCTGGCAATTCTATCGCTACTTTACCTCCATCTTCTTCTCCTGTGTCTGTACCATCTTGTAGCTTAATTTCTGCTACTAACTTACCGAATAATGCTCTACATACCGTTGTATCTACGACTTTAAAGCCCAAGAAGAAGAAGAAGAAGAAGGCACGGAAGAAAAGGAAGACACATTTGTACCTTTCACCGGAAATTCAGCGGCTATTGGAGACAGGAAATAGAGACGGTATACTGTCCGACAGCAGTGAGGAGGACAGTGAGGTACTGGCCAAGCACAAAGCAGCCAAGAAAGCAGTCAAGGAACAGGCGAGACCTGCAGCAGCTGATAAAGACTCGGTCTTGTCTTTTCTTCCATTGCCCAAGCACAAACTACCAGGCGTAGCGTATCCAGATGCTAATGCTGAAGCTAAAGGAAAAGAAAGACAGGAAGAGATACAGACACAGAAGGTTCTAGGAGCTCAAACAGGAGAGGTTGAGGAAACTACTGCAGCCTGGCAACAGTATTATCAGCAGCAACAGCAGTATCAGGGCAATGATGCTGTCATGTCACAGGAATATTGTGTTGCACAAGGAGAAGATGACGTGTTTGGGGGCAGCTCCAAGCGCAGAAGGACACGTGAACGAGATATTGAACGAGCACTTCAAGAGGGCCACTTTGAGACTGTTGCTGGACAGATTGTGGACGTACATGGCCCAGTGCCTAATGCCTGGCAACCACCAGTGGACCCTTTGACAGGAGCTAGTGGATCCAGTGACCACGAAGTGAGGGTAAAGGCGAGCTTTTGGAACGCTCAAGCCGGTACTAAGGTGTCGTCGATGAAGCCCAGTCGGCTGCAAAGACAGAAACACCAGCTGAATCAGCTTGCTTTTGATGCAAAAGCGCGTGATTTCGAGCTGCTAGACAAAAGAGGCGCATCATTGAAGACAAAGAGAGAGACATATGCCAAGTATGGCTGGTAAAAAGACATCCCGAGGTCGTTTTGATATACAAAGCTAAACTGACACTTCAGTACAAAGCTTCACTGGTGCACACGATGTATTCCTTTTGCCTGGCTTCTTATGGCAAACCAAGATGCGCCATGGCTGCTGTCTGCTCCTCCACACTAGCAGAGACATCTTCAACAACTTTCGGAAGCCGCTCTTCTGCGTCCTTGTCATCGTCACCTTCTTGCTCCTCCAGCTCCTTCTCTTCCAAGAATTCTGCAGTGAATTCCTCCACCTCATGCTGCAAACGTGCCGTCTCGGCCTTGCTGACCTTGCCGTGGTGAGTGGCACCTAGTGATTTGAGTTTGTGGTTGTGTTCCTGGTGCTTGGTGCTCTCGCGCGGATAGACCTTCCGCACTAACACGAGATCGGGGAGTTCATCTTTCAGAGATTGCGTTTGGCTTGAGCCAAAGATGGTGGAGGAGAGGTCATAGCCCTTAACTGTGTCGCCTGCAGCCAAGACACCGCCAAGATGCGTGCGCGCGTGGAACGTCGTATCATTCACACCAAAGTCGCTTGCACGAGCCACTTCCACGTCAGCAACGATAAACCTGGGTTTGAGCCCTTTGTCGGAGACAGGTGCAGGGCCAATCTGGCGCAATTCCCGCGAATCCACGGGTTCTACATCCAATACGACGAACTCGACCATGTCGGAGCTAGTCGCCAGTGGCAGGAACGGCAGCTTCCAGTACCTGTCAGTCGAAAGCTCCGCCTTCTGTCCCGATACAGGGTCCAATAGATGCACCAAGGATGTGGCACGCGCACATAGTGTCACGTCCGAGATGTTCCCACAGCTCTGGGCAAATCTCCTCGGCAAGACCAACAAGTCGTCCTTGCAGATCGGACTCAATTCAACGCTATACGTAAGCTGCACGTTAGCTGACGCATCACGCACATTCTCCGAAATGAGCTTGCTGGAAGACTTGGATCGCATGGGGACATGTGCTGACAGAAAGTGAAGGAACTTTTCTGCCGTTGACTTGGTACCAAAGTAAAAGTCCATGCCTTCCTTCACGGTTGTAATGTTGATAGCATCCTGGTGTGCGTTATGCTTGAGAATATCCTGCTCGAGTCGGAGAAATGTTCGTTTATGGTCGGCTTTTTGACGGATCTGGACGAGTGCTCTCCACGTGTTGTTGTGGTATTGTTTGGTACAGTCTGGACACTTGACCGAGTTGATGACAAACGTCACGACGCACGTGTTTTGGATCACGGCGTGGTTAGCAACCTCACGTTGCAATGTGAGTCTCAGCTTCACCCGTTTTGAGTGTGGTTCAGTCCAGATAAAGCTTGCATCAATGAGTTTCGCCTTGTTCAGGCCTGGAATGTTCTTGAGACAAAGCGCCATGAGCTCCTTGGACTCCCAGTCACAGTCAACCCATGCACCTGAGGTACTACTGTACTGCTGCAGTTTACCACGAGATTGAAAGCGTAAACAGCCACGACATTGCACCAAGTCACACGTCGTGTCGATTCCTTCAGCTACGTTCACTTCCGATGCAATGCAGGACGTGCACATGTTCATAGCATTGGCTTCAATTTGGACACCACACATACAGCAAGAACTAAATGAAAGCAATAACATACAATTAGGGGGAATAAAGTAGATGGATCTCCATGAAGAGATACAATAATATAGAGAATATAATGTACATGGTCATAGTGATGATGAAGAAGAAGAAGAAGAAGAGCTTTTTCAAATGGCGTTAGTTTTTTTATGGGAGAAGTTTCGTTTAATGAGACTTTTCTCATCTTAAAACGGATTTCACCTGCTTACTAAAGCACGCAAAGCTTTGTGTTATCAATAGCTATACTACTTCCTCGCGTCTCTCCATCCTTGTCAATTGTCACCGTGCACTACTTGGACTGACCTTAGCCATCTCAGTTTTACTGTTGACGACAGTCGACACCAGTTTAAAGACATTATCATCCTTCTAATCCCGGACTTGCTCTGAAACCGTCTTTGCAACATCACCAACTCCAAGTCTTCATCAAGATTATACTATCGATCCTTGCTCTTCACGGCTTGTATCCTGCTTATCATACACAACAACATCAGCGCGTACCAAGTCAGCACAAGGTCCAGAGTCGTCATGACTCGTGTTAGCAATCGAACTCATCCACATCCGTATTTTTCCATTACTCGCACCTTCTCCCTCGTGGTCCACAAGGCTCCTCTGTCCCACGTCCGGCTAATCCGTTTCGCGGTTCTCATCTTCAGTTGCGTCTTCTTCCTGTCCTGTCTCCGAAGTTTTACGGAAATAGTTCTGCTTGGCCTTTTCCAATGCAAGTGCGAATGCAGCACCTTCCACAGCCGAGTTCTGCGAGGTCGGCGGAGGTTGGAGAGCATCTCCATCAGAAAAATCATTCCCACGTGGAGGCTTGGAAGATCCTTCAACCTGCAAAGTCGAGCTTCCCTGTAGGTCCAACATAGCGTCTCGTAGTGTTGACTCCACATTTCGGAGCTTCTCCACACTCTTTGGGGCAATCGAAGCGTACTTCTGCATCCACCGATAATCATTCAGAAGATTGTCGTCTCCTATCGTCGAGCCGTGGGCAACAAGCAGTGCATTTAGATACTCAGCGTTCATCAAAATTTTCTGCTCAACTGACTGGACTCTGGCTAGTTCACGCGCATTTTCCGAACGGACTCGGGTCAGCTTCTCTTCCTCATCAAACACACTCGCACGCAGTTCACTCCACTCCATGATATCACAGCATGCAGTTAGCTTCTGGTAAAGAGACTGCACTTCAGCAGTTAAGGACACAATTTCTTGTCGGGTAGCAGTAAAGTCCTTCTCCAGGCTGGCGAGATTGTCTTCGTTCGGCCGAAGTGCAGCCGTGCGTTCTTCGAGGTCTTTTAGCTTGCTCTGTAGCTCGTCTAACTCGTTGTACTTAGCACTTTCCACTGCAGAGATCTTTTCACGGACTGCAGCGACAGCAGCCATCAAAGTTTTGTTCTCGGTACGAAGTTCTTCAACTTCACGCTCCTTCATCTCTGTTCGCCGCTGGTACGACACCTCGCGCTTTGCACGGTCTTTCTCCTCTTCTTCAAGCTGGCGCTCGAGCTGACGCTTCTCCTCCCGTAAGGAAGCCATCTCGTCACTAAACTCGTCTGACCCGTTTGCAATGAGTGCGGACTTGTGGTACTGCTCCTTTAACTCTTCACGAACTCGCTCCACAACTGACTCCAGCTCACGGATCTGAGTTTCATGTTCCTTAACCTGATTGTCTAGCTCCAGAGCAGCGGCACTGTCCGTAGCAGCCTGCTTGACAGTTAGCTCGTGCTCGGCCTGGAGCCGCTCCAACTCGTGTGCCGTCCGACGGTGCGTCGCATACAGCGCGTCGAGATGATACGTGATGGCATCGTCATCACTCATCTCAGCGACCTCTGCCACTTCGCTTTCGCCCGAAGCGTTCCCGGCCTGCACCAACTCCTCCAGGATACGTTTCATACGCAGCTGCAGATGCTGCTCGCGGTGCTGAGACGCCTGTAAAGTCTTCGTCAGCGTGGTCATTTGTTCCGTAAGCTCCTTGCGCACACTATCCAACTCCTTGCTCGAATCAGCCTTAAGTGTCTTAATACCAGCATTTAGCTTGGCAATGGTGTCTTCCAAATCCTGCTCGCGAGCCCGAGAGTTATCACGTTCCTGGTTCAGCTTTGACGTAAGCGAGTCGACCTGGGAGACGTAACGGCTCTGCATCTCTTCTTGGGTCATCGCCATTTCAACTAGCCTCTTGCGGTTGGCTTCATCCGACTGCTTTGCCTTCTCCAGCATTATCTGCTTTTCCTCAAGCGTACTTGACACTTCGGCAAGCTCAGCACGAACCTTGTCGACTTCCGACTGCATCTGACTCATAGTAGCAGCTAGCTCCTCCTCCTTCTCAGCGGGTGCATCACCAATGTTGGCCTCCATCCGAGAAACCTCTCCCTCTAAACGAGCCTTGGACTCTTTAAGCTCCAGTATCTGTGCCGTGCATTCGTCAATCTTGCTTCGAGCCTCCTTAATTTCTTGCGTCAGAGTTAATACTTCACGCTCGTGTAAGGTTTCCTGGTTCTCTAGCTCTTTCTCGAGATTGGCAATCATAACCTTCGTCGTTTCAAGCTCTGACTTGACGCCTTCCAGCTCCAAATTACGCTCTTCAAACTTTGACTTCATTGCAGAATATTCGGTCGCGTGCTCCAGACGAAGGTTCGTCTCTGTCTCAAGAATGACACGCTTGTGATCAATCTGCGCACGCTGAATTTGCTCCAGCAAGTCTTGCTTTTCGTCTTTTAACGCAGTCAGCTCGTCTTCAAGAGCGTCGAGATTGCTCTTGTCCACAAGTGTTTCGCGAAGCTGCCGCATTGCCTGTTCTTTGTCTGCAATTTGTTGCTTCAGCTTGACTATCTTTTCATCATACTCGCTCGAAAGCTTGGTAATGGTGTCCTCTATGATCACCTTCTGGCTTTCTTTGACCGCGTTGAGCTCTTCGGTCATCTCCTTTAGCTCTTGCTTCAACTCGTCCTTCTCAAGTTGGTTGTCAAGAAGCAATTTCTCCAGCTCATTGCGCTCTTCACTGCTTGCAACTGTTAAGGCGGTTTGTTGCTTAGTCTCATCATCATTTTGAAATCCTTGCGCCACGCGCTCCATTTCCTTCAACTTCAGCTGCGCGAGAAACAGCGCGTGCTCCTTGATAGCCTTCACACGACGCATGGTCTTAGCCTCACGCTTCGACAGGTCTAGCATTTTGAGAGAAGCCATTTCCATGCGCTTCAACGTCTTGGTCAGCAGCCCAACCTGAGTCTCCTTTGCTTGTAGATCCGACGTCAGCTGCCGGACCTCCTTCTCCTTTTCACTTTCGAGCTCGCGAATTTTGTTACGGACTTCTGCCACCTCCATCTTCGACTTACGCACAAACTCGTTCTTTTCCTCATTCTCAGCCTTTTCACGTGCAAGCAGGTTTTCCAATAACGAGTTTTTTCCCTGCGCAAAACCCATTAACTTACTCTCCTCCTGCAGCTTTTGCATAAGCTCCAAACGTTGCGCCTCCTTCTGCTTTTCTGTATCGGTCAAAGCCGTACGAAGTTCCTTCAACCTAGCTGCAAACTGCTGCTTCTCAGCAGCAAAGCGGCGCTCCACTTCAGTCTTTGTGGTAGCCAGAGCTTCCAACTCGGATATGGATTGGACAAGGCGCTGACGCAGCTTATCGTTCTCTTCCTCCGTGTTCACAGATCCAGAGCTGAGCCGATGACCGGCGTGCATCTTGACCTGACCCATAGTTTCCTGTAGCGCCTTTGTGGACTCCTCAAGTTTCTTCTGATTATTGGCAAGCTCTGAAAGCTTACTGTTGCTCGCAATCTGCTCGAGCTTCTCCTCCATCGCCGCAGCCGCACTGCGCTGTTCGCTATGTAAAGACTTGCTTAGCTCCGTGTGCGCGTTAATCAATTCGTCACGTAGCGTCGCACTGGCCACCTTGGCATCCTGAAGCTTCCTCTCTTGGCGGTCTAAAGCACTCGAGAGCTGTGCCATCTCCTCCGTGCATTGCGTCTGGGCGTTCTGAAACAAATGCAGGTCGCTCTTGCGCAGGATCGAGCTCTGCAGGCGCTCGATATCATCCGACAGTTCAGTCTTCAGCGCAGCTAGGCTCTCCTGTCGCTGCAAGTAGGACTGTTTCTCCAGATTCTGCAGATTCTTCTCCATCTTCTCGGCCATTTGGATTACGTTTTGCGATAGCCGATCTTCCATTTCGCGGAACTCCCGTGTCAAACGAATGCTCAGCAAGTTTTCGACAGCCTTCATATCTACTAAGCTGCCCATATGGCGATGCATCAACTGCACCCTGTCCGCAAGCTTAAACAATCCTTGCTCCTGCTTCTGACGATTGGCAACTAGAGCCTCAATGTTGTCCTCCAGCGTCGAAATCTTCATGGTTGCGGACGAAAACGACTTGACGCGAGTGCCAATCTCTGTCAAATCGCGATTCATATTCACTTCACGCTCCAACAGATCTGTGCTGTGCTCCTCAAGGCGAGCAATCGCGGCAGCATTGGCTTGTACAATAGCAAAAACCTGGGGGTCCGAAGCTCCGGGAACATTGGCCGACGAATTGATGTTGGCCGACACCAACACGGCGTCACGTAGCTCTGAAATCTGTGAGCCAAGCAAGGATGTCTGTGTATTTAGACCGGCAACGTCTGTGCGTAAGTCCGCCACCTTTCTGTCCATGGCACCGTTGCGTGAGGCAAAGTGCGTCTCCAGACTCTTTTTTATCTCGTCGACGACGTGGTTGGGAATGTCACTAGGAATATCGGCGTCCGCGACACGGATCCGTGGGCCCATAGAAGCGCTGAGCGGTTGCGCGTGCGGAACGCGGACATTGGCGCCAGGTGAGCGTCGAATTCGGAAAGACATACCAGTCATAGAGCGCGTCTCATCCAGATCGTAGCGTACACGATGGGCGCCTAAATCCAGGCCACCGACACCAGCAGCCACACGATGTTTCTGAAGCATAGCGGCCGTCAAACCGCCGCCACCTGCGATGCCGACATGAGGTCGGCCAGCGTTACTGGCGACACTGTCCTGACCCGAGTCAAGTCTAGAGCGAACCTGGCCTTGATTACTGGACATGGAGCTGCCATCGCCGTCATCCGCCGGATAAAAGCCTTGGGACGTCCGGATGCACGAGACGATATGGAGCCGGTGTCGTCATCCGTCCGGATAAAAGCCTTGGGACGTCCGGATGCACGAGACGACATGGAGCCCGTGTCGTCATCCGTCCGGATAAAAGCTTTAGGCCGTGCCGAAGCTCTGGAAGAGGCAGAGCCAGCGTCATCGTCCGTCCGGATAAAGGCCTTGGGACGTACCGAAGAGTGCGACGACACGGATTCCGTGCCATCGGGCTTCATGTACACACGCGGACGTGCCGATGTGTGTGAACTCATGGATCCGGTATCGTCGTCATTACAGACAAAGGCACGAGGACGTGCCGAGCTGCGCGAGGACGCAGAGCCGGCGTCGTCTTGGGCACCCACGTACGCACGCGGTCGGGCCATTGTAGAGTGCGTGGTGGACAGATCGGATGGTGTACGCACGTGCGGCTTGTTGCCGATCTTGCGATGAAGGTTGTGGTTATTTGACATCTCCGAGTCCCATGACGCACTCATGGTGACGATCGATCGTCTGAGTCGAAAACGAAAAGGAAGAGTGGCGAAGAAAGGGGACGGAGAGACTCGTCGTCAGCTGGAATAGAATCTGAGGCCGTCTGGCTATGAAGGAGGAGGACACGATCGACAATTTAGGCAGCTGAGACTTTTCAATGTCTTTCTCACTTATGGATAGTGAATCCAAGTCAATGACAGTTGAGAAAAAGCAAAAACACGTCGGTGGTGGGAACTCGTTGATATAGTAGATACTTTGAAAAGAGCTAATTGCCAACTAGGTTTGACAATAGACTACTACCTACCACCATTACTTGTCATGATATAGTGAAAACAAGTACAATAACTCGACTTTGAACAAGGTGGTAGTAAGTACCTGGTTGGAACGATGTGGTGATGGCATTTGCCGTTTGGTCAGCGAAAGAAAGCTTTCGTGCAAAAAAGCCACCGTTAACGCGTCGCCGTCTCGATCACCACGATTTGTTTAGCAGTAAACAGACGTCGTTAATACTGTACGATGTCACTACAGTATCGTTCGCGACGCGTATGTTTCTTGTAGTCAAGTCGAGACACTTGGTCACCTTTGCAGGACCTTTCGTAGAGTAAATTTCGTGTCATATCGCTTCGTGTCTTTGATCGTCCTTGGTCACATTCTGCTGTATAGTCTTAGTCGTACTCCACCGTCTATACGACAAGAAATTGTCTAGTACAAAGGTACTAACTACCATCATGAGTACCAAGGGTAAATGGCTCACCATTGAGCAGAAGTGTGAGGTTATTGCACAGCATCGTCGTGAGCCCTCTACTAATTACACGCAACTGTCACAATGGACCAAGACACGTTTTGAGTTATCGGTGCCACCTACGCGCCAGACGATCCGTAACATCATTCAGTCGGCCGCTATCATTGAGGCCAAACGCCTGTGCGTGCACGTGACCGCAAAGGGCCGCGATCCGTGCGTGCGTTCACGAGAGCTCGAGGATCAGTTGACACAGTACATCAACACGTGCCGAGAGCACAATGTGCGACTCACACGCCGTTTACTCAACACCAAAGCGCGAGAAATTCTGGATAGGATGGACAATGCACCGACGCACAATTTGTCAGTCGGCTGGCTCACGCGTTTCATGAAGCGACACGGACTAAACTTCCAGAAGGAAAGGGAAGAGTTGAAAGAGACATCAATGGCTGCTGCTGTTCCAGCTCACGCTGGTAGCACAGTTGTAGTTGATGTTGTAGAGCCGCACGGACTAGAAACAGATCCGGAACGTGTTCGCGTCGATAAACTGCGGCAAAAAGCGACCAAGAGGTTGTGGGAGCTTGAGCAAGAGGCCAGGGAGTTGAAGAAGTATCTGCGCAGACTCAATGCAGCTTCGAACGCGCATCTGCATCGGTGAATTTGATTGCCTGCTTCTTGTTGGTAGATGTAAGGTCATCGGTGCTAGATCTGTGGCGTCTGTAGTGTAAGGTCGAGAGACCTTTACTGCAGCGTCGATACCACTGGAAATGTTGCTGACGCGTTGTATGTGATGAGGTGTCGCCATAGCGCAATAGAATATCAATGCGACACGGCGTTCTCCCTCTTCGAGGCCGACTGCAATCAACGCTATTGAACACGGTGACGTCGTCAAATGCAGCCAGGATCACATCGCTTGCAAAGCTCTGGCGGGCAGGTTGGACAGCAACACGCAAGCTTTGAGACCGCATAGCAGAAAGAAAAACTTCGCCAACAAAGCTTAAGGATTCAGGAGTCGAGCTTAATTGTATCACTAGTGTCTGCACTTCGTCAGACGTTCGAGGTCTTCACCACTGCAGTTCTCATACGCGAAACCGTTGATACATCTGCAATGTCATGCACATTTCTCGATGTCCAGCTTTCCACTGGTCCTTTTGGTATGTCATAGAGCACTACGCAATCCATTTACATTGAGAAAAAGAGTGAGACAATACTCTACCCACAGCATGACACGCATTGAACACACATTGTCTTTCATATTGGTTGGTCGTCCGTAACAAGAAAAGAAAGTATTGCATTTAACAACGCACATCATACTACATTTATATATGGTAAGCCACTTCAGCCTACGACCATAACAGTCACACATATCAACCTCTTTAGGATCGTTTACGGAGCCATCTCGATATCAGTGTCCGTGAGCTGCGAGATAGCGAACGTCAATTTGCCATTAACTTCAGTGATCTCCACTTGGGTCTTAGCATGAAGCTGGCCGGAGATAATGAGCTTGCTCAGGTCCGTTACGACGTGCTTTTCGATGTATCGTTTGATGGGACGTGCGCCATACTGCGGCTCGTACGCTTCATCCAGAATCACGTCCAGTGCTGCCGTCGTCACGTTCACCGAAATCTGCGCCTCCTTCAACCGAGCAACGACCGAGTCGAACTGCAACAACACGATCTGACGCAACTCCGTGCGGCCCAGCGGTTCGAACACAACAATGTCGTCCAGACGGTTCAGCAGCTCCGGTCGGATGGTACGACGCAACTGCTGGAGCACCAGCTCGCGCTGCTTTGCGAACTCCCGTTTCCTACTGCTCTCAGCATCCATAACATCACTCTCTGTCTTCATCTTTTTGCTTGCACGTGGCGACAGGTCGTTCTCAAACAGCAAGTGCTCTGCGCCAATGTTCGACGTCATGATAATCACTGTATTCGCGAAATCGACCGTTCGTCCATGCGAGTCCGTCAATCGGCCATCATCCAACACTTGTAGCAGAATGTTCAGCACCTTTGGGTGAGCCTTCTCGATCTCGTCCACCAGGACCACGTTGTACGGATTGCGACGCACAGCCTCGGTTAGCTGACCCCCTTCACTAAAGCCGACGTATCCAGGAGGAGAGCCAATGAGTCGCGAGACGGTGTGCTCTTCCATGTACTCGCTCATGTCAATACGCACCATGTGTTTGTCGTCGGCAAAAAGTTCGTTCGCGAGCGCCTTGGCTAACTCGGTCTTACCGACACCAGTGGGGCCGAGGAATAGGAAACTGCCGGTCGGTTGTCCGGCGCGAGCAAGTCCGGCACGTGAACGCAGTACTGCGTCACAGACGGCCTTCACTGCTTCCTCCTGACCCACGACGCGCTGGTGGATGCGCTCTTCCAGATGCATGAGACGGTCGCCCATACTTGACGTCAGGCGGGACACCGGGATACCCGTCCAACGAGCTACGACCTCGCAGATCTGGTTTTCTCGAACAACTTCCTCGACCATCTTGTGTTGCAACTCATCTTCATCCTCGCGCTTCTTCGCTTCCTCTGCTGCGGCGATGCGGCGTCGAACGTCCGGAATGGCATAGTATTGCAGATCAGAAGCGGTCTGCAGGTCCTGGGTGCGTTCCGCCTGCTCAGCCTTCAACTGCAAGTGCTGCAGCTTGTCCCGAAGCTGGCGGATTTCGTTGACACGAGCTTTCTCCGCTTCATGGCGTAGGATCAATGGACTCAATTCGTCTTGGATCTTGTTCAACTCCTCCTGCACTTTTGTCAGACGCTGCTTGCTCAGTTCATCCTTTTCCTTTGCAAGAGCTGTAGCCTCCACTTGCAACTGCAGCTGTCGGCGCTCCAATTCATCAATGACTTCAGGTTGGCTGTCCAGTTGAACACGAACGTTTGCACACGCTTCATCGATGATATCAATGGCTTTGTCGGGCATGAACCTTCCCTTGATGTAACGGTCTGCAAGCTTTGCAGCAGTGACTAGAGCCGCATCCATGATTTGCACTCCGTGATGCGCCTCGTATCGCTCTTTTAAACCTCGTAGAATGCTCACTGTATCTGGGACGGACGGTTCATTCACCAACACCTGTTGGAACCGACGCTCAAATGCCTTGTCCTTCTCGACATGCTCACGATACTCGTCCAACGTTGTCGCACCAATGCACCGCAACTCTCCGCGCGCCAGCATGGGCTTCAATAGATTGGCAGCGTCCATTGCACCTGATGTTTGTCCAGCGCCGAGAATCAGGTGCATTTCATCGATGAACAGAATGATCTTGCCGTCGCTGTCTTTCACCTCCTTCAGCACCGCCTTCAGACGCTCTTCAAACTCACCACGGTATTTGGCACCCGAAATCAAAGCACCCATATCGAGACTAATGAGCTTGCAGTTCAGTGACTCGGGCACGTCGCCCACGACGATCCGCCTCGCCAGACCTTCCACAATAGCAGTCTTTCCCACACCTGGCTCACCAATCAGCACGGGGTTGTTCTTGGTTCGTCTCGACAGGATACGAATCACTCGTCGGATCTCCTCGTCTCGGCCAATGACCGGGTCGATCTTCCCCGATTCGGCCAACTTGACCAAGTCCTGACCGTATTTATTGAGTGCATCGTAGTTCTCTTCCGCTGACGCGTTCGTGACGGGACGACCGCCACGCATCTTCTGCACTGCGTCCTTTACCTGATTCTCGTCCATTTGATTGCTCTTGAGCAGACTCGCAACCTGTGAGCTCTGATACAGAGCGACAACAAGATGATCTGCTGCCAAATGCGAGTCCTTCATATCCTTCCGCATCTTGTGCGCGTACTTGATCATTTTCATGAGTGCAGAGTCAGCGCCGATAGAGTCAGGTGCTGGTGTCTGCTTTGGCAGCTTCTTGAGTTGCAGCATCGCGTCCTGCTGGAAACCGGCCGCATTGCCGTGCACGAGGTCAGCGACACGCTTGGCCAAGCCGTTCTTGTCGTTAAACAGTGCATAGGCCACATGTAATGGTGTAAGCTGTGAGTGACCCATTTCTTCTGCCAGATCGTGTGCATTGCGTAGATATTCATTCGTCTTGTCTGTAAATTCTGCCGGATTCATATTTCAATGTGTCTTTTGTGTATCCACTTGTGTCTTTTGTGTATCCACTTGTGTCTTTGGAAGCAAATTAAATAATGAGTGAGAGTAAAAGTGGATCATGGCTGCGATTTACGAGAAGATTCCAGAAAACAAACGTACTTCGCATAAGTCACATACTGAATACAAGCTAATTGGGTAAGAAATGTGACAGGAACAGGTCCATTGATTCGAACAAACCACTTCAACATGGACCATAGTGAAATACATATAAAAAAGCGTCTAGCAAATTCTAGCATCTTGTACCGTAACGTCATTTTTGTCGCTATGAATATCTTGCATTACCATTCAACGTCTACGTTCAATGTGTTTGTCATAGTACCTCGCTCGACAATTGTTCTTTCATGGCGCTGCGCAATTCGTCGGAGATGTTTAATGAAGCTCAGCGCATCCAAATATGGAAAGAGTCCAGGGATATACGACGTCTGAGAGAAAACACTGTTGCGCTGCTATACGCGCAGGATACAACAGCGCTGAGACTGAATACAATCTAGAACGTCTTTAGTCTCAGCAGAAAAAGTCGCTTCAAAGTGACACGACAAACACTTCGTCGTGTAGCTTTCGTGACGTGATGCAGGAACTCTCGTTTCAGCCTCACCACATGACGCTTAGGTGTATGAATGACCTAGTGTGGCTGCTTGGCTTGTAACATCCGAGTGAATAACGTCTGATTAGGTTGAATTGCTGTGGCGACTAGACGGCTGATAGTGCAATAGCACGTCTGATCAGGTCCACCTTGGTCTGTCAGGTCTGATGCATTCTAGTGGTAACAACAAAACCACAAACGACACAATCATCTTCACTAAAAGCACGAGAGGTAACTATATGCAGCGATATGCGACCTACTGCCCGTCAATATAACTGCTTGAAGTGTCAACTGTAGGATGTTGGCTACACATGCGCTCGCTATGCGTCGTCTACTATCGACTCATGCACATTCTCACGCCTGTAGATCCTATCGTTCGAAACGCGTTCAGAATTATCTACACACCTGGTAGCTGTCCTGACAACCATGCATCGATTAAATTACAACTAAGCGCTGCACACTGCCCCCTTTGCCATCATGTCCAGCTCCACATTGTGAAGATGCCTTTGTAGCGTCGAGTAGCTCCTATGCGAAGTCGTTTGTGAGACTTTGCCATCTTCTGCAATCTTCTCGAAAGGCCGCAAGACCTCGTTTTAAACATGTACGAGGTCGATTAGTGAATTTCAATGTTCGTGCATTCTTGCTCGTTTGACTTGTAGTGTAGTCCAGACCATTGACAAAAGCCTCAGCGCTACTTCTATTCTATTAACGACAGCATCTACGCTGACTTGATGTGCGTACTGCCACCAACTACGGACTCGATAACGCCACTCATTGCTGCTAAGAACTGCCCACGAAACTCTTCATCTGAAAATCTCAATGAAGATTTGCGTGCTGTAGATCGCATCGCAATCGATTCAGTTCGAGACTTTTCCAATAACGACAGCATCTTGCCAGCATACTCGTCTGCTGTGAGCGCCAGACACTCTGTCTCCGGTTGCACAATATCGGCCTTGGGCCCACCGGAGTTGTTCGCGACTATGAGCATACCTGCCGCCATCATCTCCACGATGCTAATCCCAAAGTGTTCGTTGTACATGGTGTGTATGCCGATGGAACTCTTTGAAAGATACCGTTTCAGCTCCGCGAAACTCGCATTGACCACAAAATCCACGCGGTCAGCAATGCCCAGTGCTTCAGCCTGCTCCTTCAGTGTCTCCACACGCGCTTCATCATCAGTGTTGCGACAGCTCCCGAGCAGCACCAGACGAAAGGCATGATACTTGGTCTTCATCTGCTCCGCATGCTTCGTCAGCAGCACATGAAAGGCTTCAAGTTGCAGAAGCTGATTCTTCTCTGGTCGAAACTGAGAAACCGAGAGCGCAATGGGCTCACGATTATCCAGGCCAAAGGTCATGTACTCGTGCATGGCACCACAAGGTGGGTATACAATGGTAGGAGTCTTTCCCCAAAGTTGCTTGATATGGTTGTACGTCCACGTCGAATTAACCATCACCACATCTGTGCAGTACTTACCCACCACGCTGTAGGCAAGTGCAAATAGCCGATAGTAAATGTACTTGGCCATTGATCTCGATGAGCTTGCAGCAATAGCTGCGTCATTGTTAAACCCAGTGTTACGCTGTTGGATCTTAGAGATCATGTCAGTAGAGATCATTGGGTAGTGCACATAAGCCACGACAGTGCAAGCGTAGAGCAGACTTGCTACCACGTAGGAGAATGGACACCCCGTCGTGTCCACCCACACCTGTGGGTACAGTTGCTGTCTTGAGCTCTCTTGTACAGCCTCCATGCCCAATCTAATGTGTGCCAGACTCTGCCATAGCAGCGTAAAGCTCGGATACCGACTGGGTTCAAGAATCTCGCGACTGGGAAGTAAGACGAGCGTCACGTATCGTTCTACGTGCAGCGTCTTTAGTTCTTCAAGGTTAAACTCGTTTGCAGCGCGTATGAGTAGCTCCTTGGCTGAAAGTCCGTCATTTCCTGTGTATAAAATGATCTGCAGCATCGTATCTGTCTTCTGAAATTGCTGAACAAGCGCCAGTAGTGCACAGTAGAGAACACGCTCACCACCACCGCCGCCGTTGGCGTACGGATGAACGATACCAAATGTGACGGAATTTTTAGGAGACAAATGTATTGCCGCATTACGAGAAGATACGAAAGAACGTCTTGTACGAAAGATAGAAAGGAACGCGACGGCTACGACCACCGCTAGCAGCGACAATAATATCATGAGCAGGGTCATGTTTTCACACTTAATATATGTGATGTGTGGTGTACACGATGTAGACACAAATACACAATGGATAACCTGTAAAAATGTATAAGAATGCGAAATCAAGTAGTGGAGATTGTCGAAAACAATAACCTACGATTTTCTATCTGATTTACTTCCATTACTTCCTGTAAGTCAAGAAATTTCCAGCGTGTTGGCCGCCTAATCTCTTATCTTTACTATCAAGTAGTTTAAATCAACTTACGTGCACTTCCTGCGGTGTTTATTGAGTTTTACTCTTTCTATTCATGGAGAAAAAGACGAGCACGTGTCACCTTTTTCATCATAACACCAGTAGCCGCTCTCGCCGCTACTCACAGTCCATGACGCATTGGAATTGGCTACATGCAACCGCCTATTCATCCGCAGTCGTGGCATCTGCAGCCTACATGCACAATCAGCTCACGCTTTACTTCAAACGCTTCGACGCGCAGCAGGTAAATGACGAGCTGTTGTACAGTCTCGCGGCGGTCGCCACTGTGGGTAGCGAACAATTGGATGGACTTCACCTTGTGCTGTCAGAACTGGCTTCCAGACTACGCTGGTTCTTAGTGGTCTTATTACTTGGGGTATGGGTCGTCACGCTCGTGCTATCGCGTCGCTATCATCTACACTCACCACTTCGTCGTGTGACCACGTATCTAGGCAGCTACGTGGACAAGCTACGTGACTGGAATCGTAAGCAGACCCATGTCAGAGCTACTTGGCATCATCATCATTACCATACTAACCGACCAATAATTCGTTCGACAAGCTGGACTGACGATAACCTGGAGATTGATGAAAACGACTTGCTCATTCTTTCGTCGCTATCGCCTGAGCCGCGCGTCGTCTCCTTCAGCGTAGAAAAACAAGGCAGTGATGCTGACATTGGCAGTGACATTAAGCGTGGTCAGATTCGCCAGATGGCTAAAGACAAGGGTGATGACACGATCGTCCGTCTTGACAGTAAAAGTGACCTTGCGGGCAAGATTGTATTGTATCCACGAGAAGGTGCTTTAGGCGGACGACATCAGAGCAACCAGATCATTTCCGACGATCCATACGTGAGTCGTTTTCACTTTCAAATCCAGTACGATCCTATGGAGAAAGAGTACTATCTCCAGGACCTCGGGAGCACGACTGGAACATTCGTGTTTCTCAAACCAGACGCACCTAAGCGTCTGCATGTGAACGACCGCGTGAAGCTAGGCGACACGGAGTTTGAAGTGTCGGCGATTGACGAGAAAATCACGACGGGGATGCCGTTCTTGCGTATCCGCTTTACTGATGGCCCGCTCGTTGGTATTTGCCAGACCATTGGCAAGACGTCTGTGACTCTGGGTCGGTATTCAAGCAATGCACTGTGTATCACCGAGGACGACTCGATCTCTGGTAGACATAGTCTGATCTCGTACGTTGGCAATGGATTTTACATTACGGACCTCCGCAGTACAAATGGCACGGCTATTCGCCTCAGTAGAAGCGGCAAGAAGAGCCGACGACGTTATCTTCTACATGGTGACGTGTTTGGGGTTGGCTCGAATCGATTCATGATCGAGTACTCGCACCAATTAGCAGCCCAACGTCGACATGTGACACTTATACGAAAAGATCAGAAGGAGAATGACAACATCGTGGTTGACACATAGGCTGGTTATATTTAAGTCGTTGGATGGAGTATTTTCGTGTGCTGTCAATAATAATCCATAACATAGAGCTGCATTTCTTTCGCCATTCCTACCGTACCCATTCCAACAGAACCTCTACAAATGAGTCCTAGTATACTTTTTACCGTACGAATTACCTCCCTAATCACATTTCGAAAGGTAGCAGCTCCGCCATCCCTTTGTAATGGTGACGCCTAATATCATGTCAGACAAGGAGATGGAAGCCAGTATCTCACTCTTACATATGATGCAACCATCTGAGTCCATTATTAACGTGACGCTCTCAAAAGGCTACGCTACTGATTCTGAAAATAAAGACGTATTGCATTATTCCTTGATGAAGGTAGTGGCTAAACAAGCCTCCGATGAGCTGTCTCTGCCTCGCGTAGCCACACAGAAGAAGAGTCAGCAACGAGGTGCTCGTCTAACAGCTCTGTCACGCGAACTCACACTGGAAAAGCTGCGTCCGCACTTTGATAGGCCCATCGTTGAAGTGGCACGTGAATTTGGTATTTGCACGACATTCCTCAAGAAAATCTGTCGTCGATGTGGCATCAAGCGGTGGCCACATCGGCAGATCCGATCACTGAATCGTACAATTCAGATGCTGGAGCAAGTGGAGTCAGCGACGACGAACCCTGAGGAAAAGGCCAGATACAAAACTCAAATCGAGGAGCTCAAAGACAAGCAGCGTGCAGTCATGGAAGACCCAGATGCCAATGGTAAGTTAAAGCGAATGAAGAAGTACGCAGCTCCTAAGCGTGCTACTGAAATAATGTCAACACCTACAGGGAGTCTTTCGTGCCGATGACGTCTGAGGATGATGCCAAGAAGTTTGTCTCGGCTCTAGTTGTTGCAATGGACTCTATGTCTAGTTTTCTATGTGATCAGAGTGGTGAAGCTAGTGTGCAAGACCAAGATTCAACTCGTAGCTATTCCGAAGTCATCTCCACTAGGTGTGGAGATCCCTTCCTTGATCTTATCGATGACACCAGTTTCGGCCTCGATGATGACAATAATGCACGCTGTGACTGTGAGCCAATTTTAATCGTTGTCAAAGATTTTTCTAAGTAATCGCAAGTTGATGCTGATAAAGACGAATGTTGAATGTTGACGCATCGTGTCGTCTTTGTAGCTCTTCAGTTTTATCAAATTGGCTATGTCATGTGAAATATTTGAACGAATGAAGGCTAAAAATAAAATAAAGCAGCTTTACAATCCAATGTTCTGGCTATAATTGTAATTTCGACTCCAGCCAAACTGATAATGGAGCCGCCGACCGTAGCAGCGCAGACACAAACGCCGACGACCGAGGCCTTAGACAGCAATAGGTCTTTCTTCGAGTGTAATGTATGTCTAGACACTGTTTCTAGTCCAGTAGTGACGCTTTGTGGACACCTCTACTGGTGAGTCTACTTCTAACGCTGGGAATTTCTACTTGATTCTGCTCTTTGCTTCCTCTTCCTGTTCTGACGCTCTGTATTCTTCTTCTATTGCCTTCAGTTGGCCGTGTTTGTATGAGGTATAAGCAAATATATACTGGACATATGATGATGTAGTAATTGATTTGATCTGCTGCATGTAGTGGATGCAAAACCACTCCGAGTGTCCTGTATGCAAGGCCGGAATTAGTGAGGATAACGTGATACCCGTTTACGCTCGAGGTGCCGAAGCTGTTGATTCACAGTGAGTTGGAAGCGATTTCTGTACTGTGTTGTATTAAAATGGAAGTATGGACTGAGTCATGTGATGCTCTAGAACACACCAGGACAGTGGCATTCCCCGCCGTCCTCAGGGACAGCGACCAGACGCTGAGCAGCTCCGACGACGACGCCCGTTTAATGTGCGTGCATTGTGATGTTCATGTGATTGTCCTACGTGTGTTTCGTACTGAGAAGATGTTCTTTTTTGCTGTTCGTGGCTGTAGTTTGGGATCTTTACTGGAAGCGGACAAACAAACGCTTTTTCAATGTCTCCGACACTTGGTTTCTTCCCGGCACTGTTCGGAGCACCCTACGTAAGTAGAATATGAGTAAGACTTGGTATGCAACAAGCTCACATTATGATACTGATCAGCAACCGCCGGCTCCCGTCACGCATCGTCAAGATGGTACGCCTCTAACAGCACAGGAGGCACACCAGCAGATGCAGCAGGCTTTTCTGTCCCGATATCTTTTAATTGTTGGCAGCCTCGTGGTCATCTGTCTCATTACGTTTTAATTTGATATAGCTTGCGGTACGGCCAGTAAGTGCTGCATACGCACGCCAATGGACGTATTGTTCGTACTACATGTATTTTTTTAACTCAATCGTCGCTAACCAATCTGCCGGGTCATCAACAGCTTTGTCACGTTTATCACCAGGTCAATGGCGACCATGATCCACCCGAAGCTTGCACTGGATGTAGTTATCACGTAGACTCTTGTGCTCGTGCATATCCGCCGTTTGCTGCTTCTTGTCGCTCCTTTTCTAGTACAGCACACACATATTCCAAGTTACCAGCAATGGCTTGCAGGTCGTTTTCGATAGCTACGGCCCATTCCGAAAAGTGATCCAGTCCCTGCACAAATGAACAGCAAAAGCGATGAGTACAGTCCAAGACGATACAATTGCACTGAAGACGTACGTCCAAGGTCGAACGAAAACGTCTTTGCTCAATCTTCCACTTGGCTGCGCGTTGATACAGTGAGTTTACGTTCTTTGAGTACGTCAGTGCTTCCTGTTCCACGTTCCGCTGCTCCTGGATCGTCTCATCCAGTCTCTTCACAAGCAGACGACTTTTTGCAGTCTTCAATGCATCCAGAGACTCTACCAATTGGACCTTGGCATGCACTAAACATACAATCCATACCATACCAGCAAAAGTCAAACCATATGAATGCAAGTATTGCTTGTGCATCGATACACAAACCTGCGTCGTCATGATGTTGCGCAAGTCGAGCTTCCGCCGCCTGGACTTCTGCGGTCTTAACACTCATTTGTACTGGAAATACCGGTAATGGTACCGACTAATCCTTCGTGTCTCACATGTCACAATCGATTGAATCACGTCCACAAATCGTCATGGGGATGAAGAACGCATCGAAGGTCAAGACTCCTGCTCCTTTGAATAAGGAAAAGAAGAAGAAGGAGAAGAATATAAAGAAGAAAAAGGACGATGCATCTTCTACTACGGGTATCTATGGATGGACTCTCAAACTACTAGCGGTAGTGATGGCCGTGGTTGTGACTTACTATCTGCGTGAATTGGACAATATGGACTTGAAGAGTCGTGCGGCTCACTACATTTCTCGTACTGACGTGACGAATCATCTTCGTTTCAACGTCACGTGCGTTCCACTGGAGGTGCGTTTAGGAAGGTGGTATAGCAGCTTTGAAGCTGTCTGTTATGACTAAATTGTCTGCTTTTTGTCATGGTAGCATCCCAACGACTTCGTACCGGGTTGTCACCAGGAAAACAAATCCTTTTGTGGTCGTGCAGTATTCGACAACTTTGTGACACTTCAGCAGGTGACGCAGCTACGTGAGGTGGCTGAGATTGGGATGGCGAACCGCTCTGCGCGCGGCGGCCCCACGATAATGGACATCAATACGGGTTTTGTCCGCGACAGTGAAGGTTTGGAAAACATCTATCAGCCCGAAAAGAGAATACCCGATGAGAACAAGCCTGGGATCAAGCGCTTCAGCACGAAGCAGTTTAATTTGTACCGCCGGTACGTGCAGATAGAATGAGGAATTTCTCGATTTGGGGCCAACTTCTGACGGATTTCGTTTGTTTGACGGGGTGTTCTTGTGACCGACAGGGTCGTTGACAAAATCCGCCGGGCGGTGATGAAAGAGTTTGGTCTCAAAGAGTTGTATTTCTCTGCGCCTACATTCATCACTCGTTTCGTTGGGAATGATTCGTGGACCCCTGTTGAGATCCACGACGAGTACTGGTAGGCTCGTTATGGCAACTTGATCGTGTGTTTCTTTCTCTCATGCAAACATCATTGCTGTGTCGCAGGCACCCACACGTAGATAAGGAAAACACTAGGCACTACGACTATTCGAGCCTCCTGTATCTCTCAGACTTTGATGAGGACTTCACTGGTGGACTCTTTTCGTTTTTGGACGAAAGCACGGAAACGGTTGTTGAGCCTGCTCGTGGCCGTCTCGTGATGTTCACGGCTGGAGCCGAAAACCTGCACGTCGTGAATAAGGTCGAGACCGGTACGCGTTATGCGTTGAGTCTTTGGTTTTCGTGCGACGAGCGCAAGGAGTTTGCCAATTTTCTGGATGGTGTGATGCACAAACACTTTAGACGCACGCAACAGTGAATTTGGTATGCACTTTGATGTTAATTAAAGATTAGCCGGCAGAACTATTGCCTCAAATGACAATGCGCTTCACTATCGTTATCACTTCTGGCTTTACTTTCGTCGCTGCAAAATGGCACGAGTGGTATGGCAAGGAAGTGGAGGCGCCGTGTAGATGGTAGTCGCGCTTCTCGGCCTCTGCCTGAGCCATCTGCAGCATGCTCGTGGAACTTGTACATTAGGAGCCGCCGTCACTCGTATGATAGGATGGTAAGGCAAATTCTGCAGACGACTTTGTGCGCTCAAATACAAAACACTGAGCGCACCAGTAGCTCTGGCGGGAACCACTGTTTCCAAGACGACAGTAACTACTCGATGAATATCGAGACGCTGGCAAAGCTAAAGTAGACATTGGTGGCCACTTCACGAGAGTTTATAGAAATCGACAGCGTAAATAAACACGCCGAATGTTTGTCGTGCCACGAAATTTGCTGTCTTCCATCTGCGCTGATCGGAGCAGTAAGAGTGGCTCTTACTGCTGTGACTGAAGACGTCTTATCGTCTTTGTCTCCAGCTCCGTGGTGCTGCACGTACAATAGCGCTGCAGTGTTCTTAGACGAGATGTCGTATATCCCCTATTTCCGCTACAAAATGTTTTCGGAATCTGCAAATGTAGCGGTCGTAGCCTACTGGCGGATACGCTGGGTTTCATTGAACATCTCCAACGAGTTCCGCAGTGCCATGGAAAAAACAATTGTCGAGCGAGGTACTATGACAAACACATTGAACGTAGACGTTGAATGGTAATGCAAGATATTCATAGCAACAAAAATGACGTTAAGGTACAACATGCTAGAATTTGCTAGACGCTTTTTTATATGTATTTCACTATGGTCCATGTTGAAGTGGTTTGTTCGAATCAATGGACCTGTCCCTATCACATTTCTTACCGTTATGACTCCAATTAGCTTGTATTCAGTATGTGACTTATGCTAAGTACGTTTGTTTTCTGGAATCTTCTCGTAAATCGCAGCCATGATCCACTTTTACTCTCACTCATTATTTAATTTGCTTCCAAAGACACAAGTGGGTACACAAAAGACACAAGTGGGTACACAAAAGACACAAGTGGGTACACAAAAGACACATTGAAATATGAATCCGGCAGAATTTACAGACAAGACGAATGAATATCTACGCAATGCACACGATCTGGCAGAAGAAATGGGTCACTCACAGCTTACACCATTACATGTGGCCTATGCACTGTTTAACGACAAGAACGGCTTGGCCAAGCGTGTTGCTGACCTCGTGCACGGCAATGCGGCCGGTTTCCAGCAGGACGCGATGCTGCAACTCAAGAAGCTGCCAAAGCAGACACCGGCACCTGACTCTATCGGCGCTGACTTTGCACTCATGAAAATGATCAAGTACGCGCACAAGATGCGGAAGGACATGAAGGACTCGCATTTGGCAGCAGATCATCTTGTTGTCGCTCTGTATCAGAGCTCACAGGTTGCGAGTCTGCTCAAGAGCAATCAAATGGACGAGAATCAGGTAAAGGACGCAGTGCAGAAGATGCGTGGCGGTCGTCCCGTCACGAACGCGTCAGCGGAAGAGAACTACGATGCACTCAATAAATACGGTCAGGACTTGGTCAAGTTGGCCGAATCGGGGAAGATCGACCCGGTCATTGGCCGAGACGAGGAGATCCGACGAGTGATTCGTATCCTGTCGAGACGAACCAAGAACAATCCCGTGCTGATTGGTGAGCCAGGTGTGGGAAAGACTGCTGTTGTGGAAGGTCTGGCGCGGCGGATCGTCGTGGGCGACGTGCCCGAGTCACTGAACTGCAAGCTCATTAGTCTCGATATGGGTGCTTTGATTGCGGGTGCCAAATACCGTGGTGAGTTTGAAGAGCGTCTGAAGGCGGTGCTGAAGGAGGTGAAAGACAGCGACGGCAAGATCATCCTGTTCATCGATGAAATGCACCTGATTCTCGGCGCTGGACAAACATCAGGTGCAATGGACGCTGCTAATTTATTGAAGCCCATGCTGGCGCGCGGAGAGTTGCGGTGCATTGGTGCGACGACGTTGGACGAGTATCGTGAGCATGTCGAGAAGGACAAGGCATTCGAGCGTCGGTTCCAACAGGTGTTGGTGAATGAACCGTCCGTCCCAGATACAGTGAGCATTCTACGAGGTTTAAAAGAGCGATACGAGGCGCATCACGGAGTGCAAATCATGGATGCGGCTCTAGTCACTGCTGCAAAGCTTGCAGACCGTTACATCAAGGGAAGGTTCATGCCCGACAAGGCCATTGATATTATCGATGAAGCGTGTGCAAACGTTCGCGTTCAACTGGACAGCCAACCTGAAGTCATTGATGAATTAGAGCGCCGACAGCTGCAGTTGCAAGTGGAGGCTACAGCTCTTGCAAAGGAAAAGGATGAACTGAGCAAGCAGCGTCTGACAAAAGTGCAGGAGGAACTGAACAAGATTCAAGATGAACTGAGTCCATTGATCCTACGCCATGAGGCGGAGAAAGCTCGTGTCAACGAAATCCGCCAGCTTCGGGACAAGCTGCAGCACTTGCAATTGAAGGCTGAGCAGGCGGAACGCACCCAGGACCTGCAGACCGCTTCTGATCTGCAATACTATGCCATTCCGGACGTTCGACGCCGCATCGCCGCAGCAGAGGAAGCGAAGAAGCGCGAGGATGAAGATGAGTTGCAGCACAAGATGGTCGAGGAAGTTGTTCGAGAAAACCAGATCTGCGAGGTGGTAGCTCGTTGGACGGGTATCCCGGTGTCCCGCCTGACGTCAAGTATGGGCGACCGTCTCATGCATCTGGAAGAGCGCATCCACCAGCGCGTCGTGGGTCAGGAGGAAGCAGTGAAGGCTGTCTGCGACGCAGTACTGCGTTCACGTGCCGGACTTGCTCGCGCCGGACAACCGACCGGCAGTTTCCTATTCCTCGGCCCCACTGGTGTCGGTAAGACAGAATTAGCCAAGGCGCTCGCGAATGAACTTTTTGACGACGACAAGCACATGGTGCGTATTGACATGAGCGAGTACATGGAAGAGCACACCGTCTCGCGACTCATTGGCTCTCCACCTGGATACGTTGGCTTTAGTGAAGGGGGTCAGCTAACCGAGGCGGTGCGTCGCAACCCGTACAACGTGGTCCTGGTGGACGAGATCGAGAAGGCTCACCCGAAGGTGCTGAACATTCTGCTACAAGTGTTGGATGATGGCCGATTGACGGACTCGCATGGACGAACGGTCGATTTCGCGAATACAGTGATTATCATGACGTCGAACATTGGCGCAGAGCATTTGCTGTTTGAGAACGACCTGTCGCCACGTGCAAGCAAAAAGATGAAGACAGAGAGTGACGTTATGGATGCTGAGAGCAGTAGGAAGCGGGAGTTCGCAAAGCAGCGCGAGCTGGTGCTCCAGCAGTTGCGTCGTACCATCCGACCGGAGCTGCTGAACCGTCTGGACGACATTGTTGTGTTCGAACCGCTGGGCCGCACGGAGTTGCGTCAGATCGTGTTGTTGCAGTTCGACTCGGTCGTTGCTCGGTTGAAGGAGGCGCAGATTTCGGTGAACGTGACGACGGCAGCACTGGACGTGATTCTGGATGAAGCGTACGAGCCGCAGTATGGCGCACGTCCCATCAAACGATACATCGAAAAGCACGTCGTAACGGACCTGAGCAAACTCATTATCTCTGGTCAACTTCATGCCAAGACCCAAGTGAAGATCACTGAAGTTAATGGCAAATTGACGTTCGCTATCTCGCAGCTCACGGACACTGATATCGAGATGGCTACGTAATATTGATGAAGAGAGGTTGCTTATGTGTACGAGTATTGTTATATGGCTACATTATGTGTTCTACCCTCTTAATAATAATAATTTTCAATTTTCTCACTACCTTTTCCTCCTCAATAATAATAATAATACCCATGCAGTCCCGCAAGATAATATGCGAGAAACTCTCGACTGACTTCCGTAAATGCACGGCCATCATCTCGTTCCAAGTACCGAAACTAAAACAGGATGACGTGTTGATACAGACCAGATACTGTGGTATCAATGCATCCGATATTAATTATACAAACGGCGCCTACTTACCAGGCGTTCAACCACCTTTTGACTGTGGTTTTGAGGCCTGTAGGATGAATTATAAGCTTACGAGAAATGTCCTGTTTATGAACACTAATTGATGTTTTTGTATGCAGTAGGAATTGTCCTGGATATTGGACCAGGTGTGACCAAGTTTAAAAAGGGTGACGCTGTGGCTTCCACCTGTACGTGACACTGGGCTACTGATTACAATTGATCACTGACCCGTTGATCGTAAACAGCATACGGTGCATTTGCCGAGCATCTGGTAGCCAAGGAACGTTTTCTGGTCAAGATTCCTGCTGCAGTTCCAGAGGTGTTGCCAATTATCGTATGCGGTCTCACAGCGTCAATGGCACTCGAGTACGTGGGTCAAATGACTCATGGTGAAACTGTCCTGATCACGGCAGCAGCTGGTGCCACGGGTCAATTTGCTGTGCAGCTGGCCAAACTCGCAGGTAATCACGTGATTGGCACGTGCAGCTCATCCGATAAGGTCGAGTACCTTCGCTCTATCGGGTGCGACCGTCCCATTAATTACCGTGAAGAGAAGGTGGATAATGTACTCAAGAAAGAGTATCCAAGCGGCATCAATCTCGTCTTTGAGAGTGTTGGTGGAGAAATGTTTGAGACGTGTGTCAACAACATCGCACGCAAAGGCCGCATTATCGTCATTGGAGCCATTGCTGGTTACCAGGACTCGAGCACGTGGAAGCACAAGGCCAACAAGGCCACGACGCCGCTGCCGTCCAAGTTACTGGCCAAGTCCGCTTCTGTCCGTGGTTTTTTCTTCAATGATTACTTTCGCGAGACGCAGGCCCATACGAAGAAACTCACGACGCTCGTGCAGCGTGGCGTACTGAACGCTGGCGTGGATCCGACGAAATTTTACGGACTGGAGGATATTCCCAACGCCATCGACTACATGTACGAGCGTAAGAACATTGGCAAGATCGTCGTGAATTTGAACAAGGGCTCGTCCAAGCTCTAAGTTTCTATTATAAGCTGGTTTGGAGTGCAGTCATCTTGCAGATACATTTCCAGTCATGTTATGTCGTAGCACACGCGTTATCATGTCGGTTTGGTTCGTCAAAAGCACAATTGTTTGAGCACTCATTCGTTGAGTTCATATTGGCGCCGATAGGATCAAAGCTCCAATTTCGTGGTCACGTATAAGGAAGAGTGTATGCTTGTGTAACACCCTCAGCCATAGAGATGCCATCTTTCGTCATAGTTTGTCAATTATTATAACCAGCATAGCTGTACTACAATGTAGTACCGTTATTGTACTACCTTTATACAATTACAAAGCTTAGAGCCGCATTGATAACCTCTAACATTCGATATTCTGTATGCAAGAGATGGATACATAATGTCATTTTCTGGAAAATGGAGCGCTATCGCTTTAAAAACGACGGATTGGCCACACACACGTCAATGGACCAGGAAGAGTGTGAAAGTAGTTGTAGCCTTTTCTTCTTTCCACTACTGGAGCTACCAATAGATCAGCAATTACAATTGCAGCAGCTGAGTTTTATCAACACGGACCTCGAGGTAGAGAGTTGAGTGTGTGAATAAACGTTTTAACCTCGTTTTAACTTTGTTTTAACGATTGTTTTGGATGTTATATAAAGCCGCTTTTAATGCGTGAAAAACATGTTGAATACTTAAAACGTGGTCTTACGCGTCTTTCATCGGGTTTTGTCGCTTTGGATGCCAGGTATAAAGTTGCTGAAACAATCAGCATTTTAACGTTTTTAATCAACCTCATAAAACCAATTTGACATGATATCTATAGTCGACCCTGGATTATCTATTGGATTTTGCACGCTCTGGATCTACTGGACGCTCTACCAGAAGAAGAAACGGCACGTGTCATTGGTAAAACCTTTTTTCATCTTTTTAAATCGTAAAAACGATTCAGTCATGTTTTAACATGTTTTAACATGGTTTTACTTATGTTTGTAGACACGTTAAAACCTTTCTGGAACAATGACCATGAAGGAGGTTTTGGAGGCGGACCCAAGCAATTGGGACATACAGCCACCAATTACGCGTCATGTCTGACATTTGCATTACTCGGGACACCAGAAGCATGGGAAGCAGTGGACCGACCGGGATTGTACCGGTTTTTTCTAGCAAGAAAACACGCAACCTCTGGAGCTTTTACTGCTCATGATGGAGGGTGCGTCATACCTTTTTTCTTTGTGGTGACAATGTTCTAGGATTCATTGTGCTTTTTTTCTTTTTTTGTAGTGAGGCAGACGTCCGTGTGACGTACTGTGTCATCTCTATCGCTAGTCTGTACGGTATTTTGACTGATGAACTGAAGGATGGCGTGGTGGAGTATGTGCTGTCTTGTCAGACATACGAGGGTGGTTTTGGTGGTGAACCAGGGAACGAAGCTCACGGCGGATACGCATTCTGTTCCGTGGCAACACTCTACATTCTTGAAGCTATTGATCAGATTCGCGACTTACCTGGGCTGCTACACTGGCTTGCAAATCGGCAGATGCCCTTTGAAGGTGGTTACCAAGGACGAACCAACAAACTTGTGGACGGCTGCTACAGCTTCTGGCAAGGTGCTGTGCCGGCACTACTGGCGCAGGTTGTGCGACAACGGTACGGCAACGAAGTGCCTTATCAATGCCACCAAGAAAAACTGCAAAGGTACATTTTGCTTTGCGGACAGGAGATTACAGGTGGCTTGCGCGACAAGCCTGGCAAGCCGCGGGATCATTACCACTCGTGCTATTGTCTGAGCGGTCTATCAGTTGCTCAGCACGGAGATGGCAGAGGTGAACCTGTCGTGTATGGAGATATGTCCAACCTGATGAAGCGCACGCACCCCGCGTATAACATCAACTACGACAAGGCTATGAAAACGATCGAATACTTCAAAGCAAAGGGCCCCTTTCAGCCTGAGTAGAGCAGGAATGTGCACACCATTACAAATCAAGTATTCCTCGTTCGCCAGTAAGGTGAGGTGTTCATTATATGGATTCACTGTGATTGATGTTGTTCAGGTGAGGATCATCACTATTGCCATCTGCATGGTAAGACGGATGGAAAGCAGTCAGCTTGGTAGGAGCTTGACAGTTCGACAAGTGTCATGGGCGTGTCATATGCGTTCACGCCACTCGACTATGTTTTCTCTTTCGCTCAGTCTCTTTACCGAAGAAATTGTGAAACGGCGACGAAGCTGCTTTTGCCATCAAGACGGCTTTAGAATAATGACTCTGGCTGCATGGGCTGCTGCTCTGTTTTCATTCCACCGTCGTTTCTGGCGTCGTTGAAAGGTGCCAAGTTGTAACTGGAATTTGCGGATCCATTTTCGGTTTGGAGCGTATGATTTGCGAGCTGGAATTGGGGTCCAAATGCTGAATGAATTACTGCTTTTCACAGCTTTGGCTTGGCTGTAAAAATTGTAGATGCAACTGACACAACCCGACTAGAGCTAGAAGTACATGTGGTAAGGATTCATTCGAATTGCGACAGGCAGAACGAGATCAAGACTCGATTGCTGTGTCCGACGAAGTTATTGCTGGCTGTGGGTGTGTAAATACATGTGGGTCTTATCTGCCACCTCTATTCCTGTTCGGTCGTGATCGGCTCGAGGACCGCACCCCACCGCGCATCAGAGGCGGCGCGCACGGCAGCCTGGTAACTCTTACTACGCGGATTTCTCCCACCATACGGTTGCGCAAATGGCCAGAGGGCACACGCTTCGTTTTCGTACCAGAGGGCACATGCTTCGTTTTCGTGTCAGTCCTCTTCTTAGTCACCCGTTTCGTTGGAATACTGTTGACACGCGAGCCGGGGGCAGCAACAACACCCAATCCTTCTTGAAGCGATCGCTTCACGAAAGCCAACTCGTTTGCGATCATGGCTGGCAGGTGCTGGTGCAGTTGTAGCAATTTATCCGCCAGCTCCACTGTGATCGGCATTCCATGACGATGGCAGAAAAGTGCTATCCGCGCAAGCTCCTCTGGGCTCATAATGCTGGTGTCCGCTGACTCGCCCTCCTTTTTGATCCGACGAATCACCTTTTCGTTCTTGACCTGAACCTGCTTGAACGCAGACGCAACTTGCTTCGTCAGCTCGTCCGCCACCGTCTTCTGGAACCCGTGCTCTTGTACGTCGCCCAAGATGATTTGGCCCGTGGACTTTACAGCAGAGGCGTTCGCAGATTCTAAGCGCTCAAGACGCAGACAGCTCTGTAGCGTCAACAGATAGGTATAACCGCTCGGCTGGATAAATCCGTGTGTACGCAGCACCTCAAACAACTTCAGACTAGCCACTGCACCCGCGAGCTCATCACGTGACTGTGCACAATACTCCATAGCTGCCTCATAGTGCGCAACCTTGAGCGGAAATGCCATCAGCTCTTTTTCAAAAAGTGTACGCATGGCATCAAAGTGACCAAATTCGCCATAGATAAAGAGCAACATCTCAATCGTGTGTTGCTGAAAGTATGCCGGCATTTGCTTCAGGGACACACCTTTGCTTCCATCCAAGTACATCTGCAAGAGTTTCTCTGCCTCAACGAGGTTCCCCTCTCCGGCAAGAGCGTTTGTCACGCGGATTACACGATTGGGATGCACCTCCGTCAATCCGTGCAGTCGAGCATACTTAAGCAGTAGCGTCGCGCCGAGAACAGGGTTACCAGACTTGCACAGCTCATGGAAAAGCGATTCAAACGCGTCGGAAGACACGTCATCATTGAAAAACTCCACTGAGTCGGTAGTCCGATTGGTTTCCACTAGCACATCCAGGGCTGTCTCAATGTTGCATCCAGGCAGATTTTGCACTGCATCGCGAAGAGCGTCATCCTCGTGTGCAAGCGCAAGCGACAACAGTAAAGACCTGGCCACGTTCGACTCGACCATCCTGACGTTGCCGTTTTCATCTATGGTAGACTTGAGTTCATTGCAAATAGCAAGCACTTGATCCGTGCGACGCTGGCGTGAAAATGCGATGATTGCCGCATTTTGAGCATATGAGTTGGGCTGAAGGCCAAGCGCACGCATGGATTCATACAGCGCACCTACATCGTCGTAGTCACCAGCAGTGGCCTTGATAGATATAGCCATAGACAAAGCCTCACCGTCTAATGCCTTACCATGCACCTGCAACATTTGCCTACAGATGCGCTCTGCTTTAATCATCCGCCAGCTATCATCGACATCTGGAACTTCACTCTTGGGCTGGCGAAGCAGCGCAAGGATCGAGTGCTTGTACATACGCAGTGGGACCACCACGGGCACCACATCAGATTCCAAGGACTGGGATGCATCTTGGCTTTCTTGCACCTGGCGCTCGTGATTACGAAAGTATCGCAGTGACGGATGTCCCGCAACAGCATCAAAAAGCTTCACGACCAAGTCGATGCGATCCGCGTTCATGCACACATCACACGCATCAGCGATACTATCCACGTTGTTTTGAACGAGGCGACGGAACGACAAAGTTTCATTTGCCAACGTGTATGCAATTCGCCACTCTTTGCTCTTGTTCTCAGACATTTCTCGTAGAAGCTCCCGTTTCCGACGTACGGGAGGACGTAAACCGTGGCGATGAGAAAACATCAACCAGTCACGACCCAAATTCCAGTTACCCGCCTCAAGCAGCTTCGATACCGTGTCGCCTACACAAACCTCAGCGTTTTTCAAAGCATCCACGTCCACCATTGTCATGAGCTTTTGCATCAAATCCCAATTTTCAAAACGGACGCAAGCGTCCGTTGTTGCACGCACAATCGAATCAGTGATTGGAAGTCCTCGTGAAAGCATCAGCTCCAAATAAGCCTCAATATTCGCCGTTCGGTCGTCACGTGCCTTACACAAGCCGCTGATCACTCCGTTAAACAGGAGTACATCATTTTCGCTACCAAGCTCGACGTTATCACCATCAAAAAATGCAACTGCTGCCAATTGATCGCCATCCTCGTCAAATTCCTGTCGATGCATCACCTCAGCCGTAGCACCCCAACTCTGCTCAGCATGCTCGATTAAATCTTCGAGCGTCTCCATATCCCCGGTACTAGCAAACACACCTGCAAGACTTGCGTATGCAGGCGGGAGCACAACTGGCACATTAGCGGACATAATTTTCCACGCGCGCTTCGCATCGCGAGTATTGAGTACAGGATCACGCTTATTGTCTCGTGAAAGCGCGTTGAACAGAGCCAAGTAGATGCCAACAAAGCGCGATACCCTATTGGAGCCATTGCAGCTCTCAACGTACTCGTCAAATAAATCCACTGCTCTTTGCGTGTTCCCCAGTCTTCCGTGGGCACGAATAGCTGTCGTGTAGGCGCCCTGATGGATCTGGCCAGGCTCGAAAAGCTTCTGGATGTAATCGAAGACTTCTACCGCGAGCTGCGTGTCCTTTGCATGCGTCAGTCCTTGCAGCAGCTTGTTGTACTTTGTAGGGGCGGGATTAAGCTCTTTGGTCTCGACAATCTTGTTCCAACAGGCCCAGGCGTGTTGACTTCGGTTTGCGCCTGTGTACGCAAGCATCGCGCGACCTAAACAAAAGACTGTCGGGCGTTTCTCACCACTTTCTAGCATCTGCTCAAACAACCGCGTAGCTTGCCAGTGTTTATCGTTCGACACGAGCGCATCGATCGCACAAGTGTAAATGGGTTCATCCAGACTCAAACCGCGCTGCGTGGCGGTAGCAAAGCTTTGCAGTGCCTGTTCCAAGTCTCCGTTTAGCACTTGACAGCGGATAAGTTGACTAAACGCTTCGCCATTATCCTGTAGTTTGTCATGCTCCTCCATCTGCACAAATAGCGCCATTGCCGTATCAGGTCTTTGTGCCATACCAGCAGCTCGGATAGCTGCACTGTAGTGGTCTACTGTAAGTTGAACTCCAGCTTTACTAAGCTGTTTCATAATTTTTATAGTGCTGTCAGCATCTTTCACTTGTCCACAGGCTTCCATGATGGCATGGAAGGCAGCAGGAGAAAGCTCTACACCCATAGATGTGGCCTCACTAGCCAATTGCACAATAAGTCCCCAATGTTCCTTGGCCAGATATGCCTGAATGATAAAGTCAATGGTGGCACTAGTAGGTCGAAGATGATCTACTACCATATTGTTCAATAGACCCGGAAGGACCTCGACTTTGCCCATGCGTGCACAAGCAGCAATAGCACGCTCGTACATGTACGAATCTAATGCTGGTAAAGCTTCATCGTTATCCACACGATCCAATAGCTTGAGTGCTTGACGCCATTTGCCGGTTTCACGATAGCTATCCAGTTCTTCCAAGAGTTTTGTCTTGGTTTCGTCCGACTCAAAAAGGACCTTATTTGACCTCTCAGATGACATCCACCGACGTTGTGGAATGAGAGATACGGATGGGTTATCCATACAAGCGAGACATTTGCTCAACCGATGTAAATTGGTGTCGGTAGACGGTTGTGCACGATGCCAAAGCGTCACGAGACGACGAGCACGAAGCATTGAGGTTTATGAAGCGGTTTATGGGAATTGAGATGGATAAATGACTGCAATCGACGCACGAGACGATGCTTGATTAGGAGGTATCAATTAGAAGCTCTAGACACGAGTACAAGCTACAAGACACACAAGTAAAGACAAGTGAGCTGCTCGTGGGATGCCAATGACACTATGACTGGCTCAAATCAAAAGGTGGTAAAAAGAAGGTGAAATGAAACGGTAAAATAATATAAAAGCGATTTATCTTTTATTTGATTTGTGTTTATATTTTCGTAAAAACACTACAATAGTTTTGACCCCTTTTTGACATGATCGAGCAACTTAACGCACGTCATACTTTGCATTATAAATTACCGGAGCATGTCAAGTCTACCGACCTGGAAACGCGAGCACCATGAACGGTAAAATATCGACTATGAACCTTTTTGCTTTGTTTATCGATCACTAAGTTTTATATATGATACTGCTGTTAGGATAAACGTGGCACGGTCACCCGTGTATAATCCGCAACAATTGAATCGTCGTTACCATCGAGAGTTTTCCCACGACACGAATTCGAAGACATTACCAACCAAATGGACGTCACGTAGTACCACTCGCTCTCGTCCCAATAATTTGTATGGAAATATGGGTGACATCCCCTCGCTCACTTCAAGTCAGCGGTATGTGATGACACCAATGACAGGACAAATGCCGACAAGACGAGCCACAGAGACTGCAATGGAAGAAACAGATGACGTGTTGTTGATGGATATGGTAAAATTGCAATCTGATGGTGGGATTTGTTTGGGTGCATTTGGTGACGTTGGGAAGATGACGGCAAAGACAGTCGACTTTTTGATTCACGTGCTGGAAGATGTGGGAGTTGTTGTATTGTCGAGTCGAGGATGAGATTGAGTGTTAATGTTGATGCTATGATGTTGTGACTATTGTGGTTGATTTTGTAAAGAGAAAGCAAGAACTGGTGATGAATGGTGAGGACAAGAACGGTAGTGAAAGGACAAGTGATGCTGGCAAGGACGACACGTCAAAAGAGGTGGGAAATGGAAGTTGTAGCGAAATGCAAATCATTTCGTTGGCCAACATTTGCGTGTTTTTGTAGGGAAAAGACTCGTCCGTCTCTCGAATATTTTCATTTGGCACAACCACTAATGACGGTGCCGACGTGACGGAGTTGGTTCGATCTCACTCTTATGAAGCGTTGGTGCAGTTGGAAGAAATTTTAGAAGCACGACACAACAGACTCATGAACGATGGAATGCTAGAGTCTACTGATGATAGAGTCGACTGAAAATAGCCATGTCAAGAGATTCAAGAACAGCCTTTACATACATCGCTGCAATATTTACATACATCGCTGCAATATCGTCATGACAATCAATCTCTTTTAGTAGCGCATCATCTTAATTTACAATTACAGCGTCTACTTAGGTCACAGACGGAAAACATGTGTGATCTTCGCACTACAAGTCCCAATTGTATATATAATACACAATCCAGAGTCTGTATTGTGTGTGAATATTCAATTGGGGATTGCAGACTGGATACAATAAGACAGTTTTGTTACACTCTAAGTATATAGACTGACTCGGGCATGTCTATCGATGTTGACTCAATTTTTACAGCGACTTATTATGCAAGACATCTCATGTCGTCTGAGCAGTTTTGTCGTCTATCCAAGGCATGAAACTTACTTATATAGTACATATCATACTGTGTTATGTTACCCGAATGATACAGTGAAAAAATATCATGATCTGCTTCCAATCCTTTGTCATGAACAGACAGATTGTTCACTAGTACTTACTGTCTGTATTAAACCTGTTAGCATTCAGTTGACATTGATAGGCTCCAATCCACCATTACGATCTTCCCTCCTTCCCTCCTTTGTGCAAAATCTGTCTCAGTTGATTGTACAACGTGTTAGAAGAAAGCCAGTAACATTTTAAAGCTCGCGTCATTCGCAACAGCACATCGTTGACCGTGTCCAATTCACCTTCCGACGGTCGCTTGTGATACCAAATCAAGCAAAAGTCACTGACTCTCAACGATTGTGCTACTTGTCTCATTCAAGCCAACGTCTATCGTCACCCTCACAGCCACGGTAGCAGCCACGCGAAACAACATTCGACACACTTTTCAAACGGTCTCACCAAGTAGAAATCCCCTTTTTCAAACGGTCTCAATAAGTAGGAATCCCCCCCTTTCAAAACCCTTAATCAAATACGATGTCGTCTCCTAGTTTTGAAGAATCTTTAGACGCTACAGAACCGATATCATGGATCTCACAGGTTCTTCGCTTATCCGAATCCGAAGACGTTCGACGTAGTTCACTTACCCGAGATGTAGTCGAGAAGAAGAAGAAGAAGAAGAGACTGACCGGTTCAGAGAAAGTATTGAGCAATGTTGGCCTAGAAATTCGTCCACTCCGAATGTCCATGACGTCTTTGAACGTCGGGGAGGACGATATCGAACGTGACCCCTCCACTTCATCCACAGTCGACGACAAGAGTATCAATGTAGATAATAAACTGGAGACATTGGACGACGACCATCTGCTGCGAAGCATTGCGGACGATATGATCGGCCACAATGTGCCATTTCGATCACCTTTTGGTGTCAAGGCGCAATGTTATGCGGACTATACGGCAAGTGGCAAGCCACTGGAGAGTATTGAGCAGTTTATGCGGACTAAAGTCATGCCCACCTATGGCAATACGCACACGACAACGTCCGTCACGGGACTGCAGACCACGGCATTTCGGGATGAAGCTCGCCAAATTATTGCACGGGGAGTGAACGCCTGCGAGTCGAAGGATGTGGTGTTGTTCGCTGGCCAAGGATGCACCAGCGCCATTCAGAAATTTATAACAGCGCTTGGAATTGGTACGTCGAAACGCTTGCGACTCTCAAGCAAGCGCCCAGTGGTTTTCACAGGCCCATACGCTCACCATTCGAACTTACTGCCATGGCGCGAAAGCATTGCAGCCGATATTGTCGAAATCCCGGAAGCAAACGGCGGTGGACTCGACTTGAAGGAGCTGGAGCGTCAATTGAAGCACTACAGCGGGCGCAAACTCAAGATCGGCACTTTCACGGCTGCTTCGAACCTCACAGGAATACTGGTGGATGTTGATGAGATCTCCAGACTGCTGCACAGTCACGGCGCGTTGGCCTGCTGGGACTATGCTACTTGTGCGCCATATATGCCGATTGATATGAACCCGAGCGACCCGATGACTTACAAAGATGCTATCTTTTTTTCGGGGCACAAGTTTATCGGCGGTCCAGGGTCTCCTGGCGTGCTGGTTGTGAAGAAAATGCACATGAAGAATGAAGTGCCGACGATGCCGGGTGGAGGCACCGTGGTTTTTGTCACTGAGAAAGGTCAAAGCTACTTGACAGATACCGTGGAGCGCGAGGAAGGCGGAACGCCAGACATTTTGGGAAGCATTCGACTTGGTCTTGCATTTGCGCTCAAACAGCGCGTTGGAGCCAAGAAGATCATGGATCGGGAACGTTGTCACGTGCAACGCGTCCGAGAGTCTCTTAGTGGAAACAAGCACATCGTGCTTCTCGGTCGCCAGAGCGACAACATTGACCAGTTGCCTATTTTTTCATTGATGATCCGCTACGGCGATCGTTTCCTGCACCACAACTTCGTCTGTGCGCTATTGAATGACCTTTTTGGTATTCAGGCTCGAGGTGGCTGTCAATGTGCCGGTCCGTTCGGAGCTCGTCTGCTCGGGGTCAGCAAAGACAACACCATTGCTTTGGGAAATGCCTCTGCGAAAAAGGACGAAGTGGTTAAGCCAGGTGTGGTGCGGATGAGTTTTCCATATTTCACTGATGACGCCGAGGTCAAATACATTCTGGATGCAGTTCACTTCCTGGCCGACCACGGCTGGAAGATTCTGCCGCAGTATGAATTTGACACTCACTCGGCAGCATGGCATCACAAATCGCAAGCTCAAGACAACCTACCGACGAAGAATTGTCTACGTGAGCTGCATTTTTTTGACAACAATACCAGCAGTTCGTCATCTGTTCTTGACGAACCCATTCGCAGCATCTCAACCCATCGACGTGAAAACTTGGAGCAGGCTGCATTTCAGGCGGACGCTTGTATAAAGGAAGCAGCGTTACTCGCTTTTTTCCCTGAGGGCCAAAAGGTGCTTGAGGGTCATGAGGATTTGCGCTGGTTTGTCTACCCGTATGAAGTTGTTGCAGATCAAAAGAAGTACGGTGACAAGGCTCCGCTCACGGACAAGATCATCGGTCCATGCCAGCCCCATTTGTACCTGGAAGATGCGATGAATCATATATGGGACGGCATACCATCGATGTCAAAGCTGAAACGGAGTCGCATGGGAAGATTAATGCTTCGCCATTACATGTCGACTCCTTGAAAAAAGTTCCAGCCGGACAAAGGGTGCGGCCTCGAAGCTAGAGACCAAAATTCCCGATAGCTGTAGTTGCATGTTAGTCGTGTTGTAATATTTGTTGGCATTTGGCCCAGTCGCGGTAATAGAATTCTATACACTGGTGAGTACGATGCATGGCTTGCTAGGTATTCAACATTGTTCCCGTCCCCGTGATCTGCGCAGCTTTGCTGTATATATGCCATTTCTCTGTAGATTAAACAATTGAGACTTCAAGATGCAGAGCAAAGGTGCCGTAACTGACACACACGCTACTCTTGGTGACGGTGAGCTTGACGTAAAGCAAAAGGCGGACACACATGAAGGGAACGAGGAGGAGGAACGAGCTGTCTTCATATGCCAACGGGAGGTGAGACTGTCACTAAAACTCTCGAGTTTGTTTGTCGAATCCTTTACATTGTGAAAGTGACAGTAAAGGCTTCGAAAGCGACACTCAACCGTAGTCTAGTAGCCGTTTGACCAGTCCATTTGATACAGCACCTGCTCTTTTCCTTCAATGCGGCGGTCGAGGTTCCTCACGAATACATCTGCAACGTCCTCTGGAAAAACAGTGCCAGCGATATGTGGTGTTACAATCACCTTTGGATGCGTCCACAATGGACTCTCCTTCGGCAAAGGTTCTTGTTCAAAAACATCCAGCACGGCTTTCGACAGTAGTCCTGTGTCAAGAGCGGCAATGATCGTTTTCTCCGAAATGATATCGCCACGACCGACATTAATGAATACCGGCTGTCGTTTACGGCAATGCTCGAGCATGTGTTCGGTCAACAAGTAGCGCGTCGCATCCGTGCTCGGTAGCACATTTACGACGTAGTCACTCTGCTCAAGCACTTCGGTCAAGTCAGTTGACGTGTGGTCAGCACTCAAAAGCAGTGCTTGTCTCTCTCCATCACTCACATGACGCTTAAACCCGACGACGTGAAACCCGGATGCTTTGAATATACGTCCCATTTCTTGACCAATTTCACCAAGACCGAGAATGCCAATCGTTACTTGCTGAAACGAGCGGTACTTGAGTTCATATCGACCAAAGACTCGTTTTTTCTGGTACTCTTGTGCCTCAAAAAGTCTGCGTTCAATTGCAATCACGTATCCAAAAACAAATTGAGTCACCGCTTTGGGCATGATCCCGCCTGCTCGTGAGACTGTAAAACCTGGATCTGCTGGAGCATCTGGATACTGATGGTAGGACTCAACACCAGCGTAAGTGCCCTGTACCCACTGTACTTTCTTCAGTAAATGCTGTAACTCAATTGGTAAATTTGTCTTGGGGGCGAGTAATAATGGGGCAGCCAAATGAGCGTCCATCAAGAGAATCTCGGCATCTTGTAGAATTTGTTGCTGCATGAGGTCCAGTTTCCACTTGGGGGGTAATGATGATGATGATGATGATGCACTGTCGACAAGTTCCTCGGGCGATTGTTTGTTACTGACATTAAGAGGATCAATTACTGGCAAAGGAAAATCGAGAATTTCAAGTTTTGATGATTGGTATAATTTCGATGCAAGAGATAAAGCCGTGGATGATGAAAGTTGTTTCCGAACGGCTTCACCGATCCCGGGAATAATAGAGACCACAGGAATCTGAAGCTTAGTAGGAGGAGGAGAAGAAGTCATCTTTTGAGTGAAATGGTAAATTAGAAAATGAGTGATGAAGTTTGTTGACATGACTTGTACCCTTTTTTACTTAACGTTTACTTAACTTTTTGAAAGTGAAAAAACTATCTAAAGTAATTTGGGTAGATTACGTTTCTCTCAGTGACGTAAAAAAAGGGGAAGCCATAATCAATCAATCAAATCAATTTGACGCTACAAATATTTAGACGACATTCTTTTTTTTCAAATATATTTTTAAGTAGCTCTTCAGTTAAAAAAAAAAGCCAATTGCCCAATTGCCCAATTGCACCCAAATTTGTCAAGCGCTACGATAATCGCGTAGTCTGCAAGCACTTCATACACTTGTACGCCCTGGCACCCGCAGGAAGACTTAAGAGCGTGTTACAATTCTTGCATCGCATCATTTCTTGGGCTGTAAAATGCACAAGACAAAACAAAAAAAGCGTTTGAATATGACATGGCAGCGACACACAACAATGCAACCAACTTACTTGTTGTCCTTGATAACTTGGATACTCCATGACACGATGGGCATTTGACAGCAGACGCGCCATTTTTCACAATCAAGTGCTTGTTACAGTGGCCACAGCTCACAACTTTAGTGTCCCGGACATCGATACCAGATAATAATGGATCCTTAGGCAAACTTGGTCCGGATTCCACTGAGCGTACCGACGACATGGACGATCTTTTCTTCTCACTGCTACATCCTGAAATCACCGACTGGTTCGTCTTCTTCACAGACGCAAGCTGGAGACAATGTGGGCACACAATCTCCGAAGGGCCAAGGCCGTCGGGAAGCTCGAATATATTGTTGCAGTTGATGCAGACAAAGTCGTGATTCTCGATAGAGGAAAGTCTCCACAAAGCTTCATCGTTGTTAGCACCGTTATACTTTACAACCGAAGGAAGCGTGTCCACGGCTCTTAAAGAGCTATCGGACGCGACCGCAATTGACTTCTCGCAGCAAGGGCAAGGCACAACACATAGATTGGCTGTCACGGGAGCATGCACGACTTCACGGCAGTGGAAACAACGCGTGGCGCATGTTGTTTGCCCACAGTCTCGAGATGAGCTCGCTGTTGAGGCCTGCAGCATCGGCGCGGGGTCTAAGATACCAATCTGATTGGCTTGTTCTAGCGCACCTTGTCCCCCAAGCAACGTCAACATGCTCAACACACACTTACGCCAGCGTTGCCACTTGCTGTGTTGCGCAATGGTGACCAAAATTTTCACCATCCTATCGTAGTCAACATGCTCGTACAAGAAGCCGCGAATCTTCGACGATGAGCAAAATCGACGCAGTAGTGTAAACAGTATGGACGCATCCAGATCGTCTCGAAACGATTCCCAATGAAAAAGTGCGTGTAGCACACCGGCTACGAGCCATGAGCTTCGTGCCGGCTCCTCCTCCGTAGGCTGATTATCACGTTCTGCCGACCGCGCAAAAACCGATTCAGCTGCAACTTCCAACAGAGCTACAACGCACTCCATTGAGTACATGCTAGTCTTCAGCGAACGGCACACGTGTTCCCTTAGCAGAGTCTCAAAATCTTTCTGCGCATCATTACCCAATACAACCACCGCACTGTCACTGTGAAATAAACTTTTCAATCCTTCGCATGAAGCAAGAAAGATATCGGACGATTTGTGGCCATCCACAAAAGTTGTAAGCGTCTTGGTATACACGCTCATAGCGCTTTTGACAAACACATCTTTGTCCGCAAGTTCTGTCAATGATCCTTCTGCAGACACGACGGCTGCTTCCAAAAAAGGAAGTCCAGATACAAAGATTAAGCAGAACTTTTCCCTAAGCTCTGGAGTGACGAGGTCTTCACTGGTTGCGAAAATAGACGGAAACCAATCCATCACTGTCACGATATGCTTGATAAGCAAGGTCTCTTGAAACATCCGTTCGCGATAAGCGCCCCGACGGGCAAACAGGAATACCAACAGACAGAGACCGCATGCAACCTCCAAGTCCGTGTTCCGGCCGCCAGAACCAGCACCAAGCAGTTTCGCTGTCAATGCAGCTTGATCCTCGCTTAGGTTACCGCATACCGTTTCAAAGCCGCGTGTCAAGCTTGGGAGGAAGTCTTTTGTTTCCATCAAAACATTTATTCCAACTGCTCCACACTCCACAACGGCGTTGAAAGTCTTCAACATCTCGGCCACACGCTCGGAGTCTTCCTTGCTATCATTCTCCTCATGCTTCATCACAGTTTCTAGCAGAATGTCTACACCCTTGCACGCAACAAGCCGAGGGACTTCGTTAATGGAAAGCTGTTTCAGTAGACAACGCGTTTGATCCACCACTTCCGAAAACGGTTCTGCTGCCTTCTTTTGTTCGTTTAGCACAGACGCCAACTTTTCAATTGCGTCTTGTTGCACAAGCGTAGAGTGAAATGTTCTTGACTGGACCAACACTGCAAGAAAACGAGTGATGACCAGCAAAAAGTTCTCCCTAAGCTTCGTTTCTTCTGGATCCTCCTTCGCATGCTCGAGTTCTTTGCTTTCTTCTTCCGCTAACTCCAACAAATAAGCAGACACTTCTTCTATAAGTTCCATACAATCACTCGGCAACGCATCACAATCGGTGATCTCAAGAAGCCCTTGCAGCAATTTGCATCGCTTAAACAGCCCCTCTGAATTCGTCTTAATGTCAACATCAAGCAATTGCTGCCCCAACTCCAACAAGAACGCAGTCTCTCGCTTGACCGAAGGGGCTTGCAATTGTTCATAAAACTTATTCAAGATGGCCAAGTCACTAACGCCATCGTGCAAGATTTTCACTGCATTCTCTTGGTGCCGTTCCGTTCCCTTTTGCATCCAGTAAACTAGAGACACCGCGCCTTCTACAGCAATTCTCTCCATCTGATCCGCATCGAGAAGTTGGCCATTCTTAAGGAGCAGCGTCAGAGCAAGAACGCCCACAACGGATGTTCGCGGGTCAATGTCTACAAAGAAACCAATCAACATTGACACCAACGTACTTTTTTCTTCGATCGATAGGCCGGACTCTTCATCATTAAGGACGTCGGGGTGTGAAAAGACAATATCAACGAGCTTGCGGGCTGCAGTGACCTGCACTGACGGTTGCTTCGATACTACCACTATCCGGAACGCCAATTGTATGTTGGCGTTTTCAATCAGATTAAGCCACAACGGGCAAGTAGCAAAATCTGACTCAACGAGATTGAGCACAATTTCTTCCGCCATTTCAGCAATTCTGTCGACGGAGGAGAGAATGTTGCCCAAAATTGTGCGAGGCAAAACAGTACGGTAGTCATATAACGTCTTGCGAAACTCTAATGGATCACTAGACAAGTGAGTAAGAATACGCCCGAGGTCCTGGGCGATCAGCTGCCGACCAGGTGACGAATCTGTATAATTATCGGTTGTGGCCTCATATGCGGTCACTAAGGCATCCAGTGCATCACCTGCCTCCAGAATGAGTAATCGAATTCGACGTGAACGTGCCAGCAGACTCAGAAGCTCAAGTGCACGGGATACGATGAATTCACGACCTGCCTCAGTTTTCTCTTCATGCTTCATCTCTGCATCTCCTTCAGTCTTTCTTACACTTTCCCGAACAGTATTGTCCCGAAGCAGCTCAAGCAAAGAAATGTGAACGCCAGCACTAATAACGAGATTTACAACAGCATCGTTTGCAAGCGCATCTCGTTCATCATCTTCTTTAATCAGCTCTTTCAGGATGGCAACGGAATCATCAAAGACTGTATTATCACGGTCTGTTTTTGCTGTCGCACTAGATTGCTCAATGCCGTTCATGAGAGCTTGCAAAAACTTTAGACCAGTCGTGATCGATTCCACAGCATACAGTGCCACAAACGAATCCTTCCAAACAGCATGTGCGATGAGAAGGCGAATGATACGAATGCCCATGACAAGTCGACTAGGCTGTGAAACGATAAACTCCGTCACGACGGTCACAAGATTCTTTACTTGGTCATCTCCCATGGAAGCAATGCGCGATGACGCCATTTTCAGTACCAAGTATAAGAGCTGCAAGAGCGCCTTGTTTAACTGCATCTCCACAGGAGCAAGTTTATCTGCAGGCACGTCCATCCACCGCCGCAATCCCATCCAGAACGCACGAAACATTTCTTGGTCAAGCAACCGTGCAACAAGTTCCTCGCCGCCACCAACAGCGCAGCTAAGGCATTTGATAGCATTGCCGCGCATATCACTATCGCTCGATGAGCACGCGATTGTCATTATAACAGGAAAATACACCACACCCACAACACGCTCCTGAAGTTCCCGCACCATCTCACCAATTTCAGGGGTAGAAGAAACCTCTAGCGGATCCAACACCGCATCAATAGACTTCACACCACTTAATTGAGCAAGCACATCCAGACTACCTGCCTTCAGTACATCGTCTCGTCCAGACGCCATGAGGAAGAGCGTATCAAGCACGCCAACCGAGAATGGACGCTTGTTCTCAATGAGCGCCCGAAAGTAACGGAGAGCTGACAATCTGTTTTCGTCAGGAGGCGTCTGCAGCAGTCGATGGAAAAAGTCGGACACGTTTCGATCATAGAGCTCGTCGAAGATGCTAGGGTTGAAAGCGCACAGGTTCAACAAGGTCTGCGCGCATAGCGGGATTAGGCGTTCCTTGCGCGAGAGCAAAAAGGCGGAGAGCGTAGTTACGCAGTTATGCGAGCAAATGTAGTCCACATACGCTGCCGACGCGGCGCTATAACTCTTCGTAATTCCAAGCAGATTCCTTTGGAACGTGATCTCACCCACGAGCTGATTCTCACCAATCACGCATGCGTTTAGCTTTTTCAGCACCAAACCAAACACTTCCAGGTCGTAAACGACGTTCAACACCTCCTCGTGTGCATCATCAGCCTTTTCAACGGAAACAGCATCGTTCAAAGATTGCTTTGGCATTGTCGAGCAGAGGCCACACAAAATCTCTGACGCGACCGTGTAGTCTTCGTCGCTGTTCAGCATCCACATGATTTCCTTAATGAATTCTTTTTCCTTGGCCAAAATAGTAACCAATGATGGCTCCTTTGATACCTGAATCAGAACCTGCGACGCCAGCATGCGGTTTACGCGGTCGCCCTTTTGCAGAGCAGTCACAAATGAGTGGATGCTGTCCGCAGGAATCTGCTGTACACCGCGTTGGACCTGTGAAGCACCACTATCTGAAAAATGGATACACTCGCAGATCGTGCTCAGAATGGCCTCAATCGCAACTTCGTGTGAATCATCGCGTGGCGCTTCAATATCGTCGTTGCCAAAATCATTACTCGTGCGCAGATCGATAAAGCCTCCCAGCACAGTACACAATAAAGCTACGCCCTTTGTTTGAATCATCTCGGTGATGTTCTCAGCATTTTTCTGCACAAAACGGTTCAGGCAACGCGCTGCTTCTACTCGCATTACCAGCGGCGACGGTGAGTCAACAGAAAGCAACTCGAGTAAGCGTGTACCTCCACCCGCCTTGCGTAGAGCAGCCTGGCAAGCAGCCGACTGGCAAATATGGTAAACAAGACGCAAAGCCATACGTTCCGCCTCCGGGCGAGTACTGCGGCCCATCTGCTGCTCCATTTTCTGGTTTCCCATTACCTTCACCAGCTGTACGCACGCTCCCGACTGTGCGAATGCCTCGCCGGCGGAAAGCTCGTTGCCGGCACTATTCTCAAGCTCAACCAGATTCACTAGCATCTCCAGCGCAGCTTGCTGTAAAGGCGCCACATCAGTATTCAGCAACTGACAGAAAGATGCTACACCTCCAGCTGCTTCCACATCGTTCAGCTGTGCGACGCGGTGCAGTCCCATGTTTCCGTCAGTCTCTGGTCGCCCAGCAGACAGTGTCAAAGCGAGTTGCATGATCTGTTCGACTTTATCATCGATAGCTGAAGTAGGGTCGTCTACTTTGTGGCGCAACCCCACAATACTAAAGAAATCACCAGCTTTTACGTTTCGGAAACACCTCGTGCAGACAGGTTGCTCTTTCTCGTACGTAGGAGCCTCAATTGGTAGCTTCACCTTGTTCGTCGTGCAGTCGGCACAGTGCACTTTGCCACACAGGCGGCAATGGTGGCGGCGACGGAAGGTGCCAAAGCGCATGCCGCATTGCCCGCATGCCGGCGAGTCATCGTCTCGCACAAAAGTCGGTGCGAAGCAGCGTTGCAATACCATCTGGACATCGCCCGCAGTGACTCTGCTGCCTCGCTCGTCTAAGATGTTCGACGTACCCAATTGTTGCTGCATGTCATTCTTCACATTCACCACTTTCTGTTCTTCATTCGGTGCTGATGCAGACGCAACATTCTTCAGTTGTTGCGTATCCACAGATGGCTCTTCCTCCTTCATGTCCGCTGTTTCAGGCAGTGTCATGACGATCTCTTCCATATGGGCATCATCACTTTCCCTCTCGAGCTCAGACAACCTGTTCTCACTTGTGTGTTGTGACAGATCCTTTGAATGAGCCGTGAACCACTCCTCCACATCAGTAGGCAGAGTCGTCGACGCAGCGGGTTGCATCACCACCGTGTCTCCAAAGTTGGTTTCGTCCCTGTACTTCTCCAGCAAAGTCGATGTGCTCAGTTTAATGGGGTTCTGATCCATTTCCACAGCAGATGACACCGACGATCCAGCCGATCGATTCCCACTGCTGCTTTTACCACTTGTGTGGGCGTATCCTCCATTGCTCACAATGTCGCTACCATTAGTGCTCCCCTTGGAAGATCGTTTTGGATCCTGGTACGTCGGCGAGCGTTCTCTTCCTGTTGATGCAGTAAGAGGAACCATCGGAGGAATATTATTCTTCGACGGAGGTCGAGATGAGTGCACCGACTGGCCTCTGCTACGACGTCTGGCAGTCACCACACGTGGGTCCATCCATGTAGTAGTACGTGTGTTGTGGTCCACAAAGTAAACACGGCCTTGACCATCAATAAGCTCCTCCCAACCAGACGGTAGTGGGTCTTCCGTCGGCAGGTGCCATGAGGTCTAAAAAAGGTGCCAATCGCCAAATAAATGGGTACAAATGAGTAAGAGAATTGGGTCAAAAAACTCACGAGCTTCTACCGGAGGCTACAGAGCTCGGAGAGAGACGAGAGTCAAGTCAAACAGTGCTCAAGACAAAAGCGTACCTCACGCGTCGTATGATTGACGTAGAAATAGCGCCCCTGTGCGTCCTGAACGCGTCGCCATTCTCCATCACGGATGCTCATACGTTTCTTGGTCACTTTTTTAAGTTTAACATTGACATGATTATGCAAAAGGGACCTATTTTATTGTGCTTTCGAACTGACGACGGACTATAAAATGAAGCCATATCACAAATTTGCTTACTGTTTTCTAGTGAAAGTCCGCATATCTCCTCCAGCAAACCATTATTATGATAAGGTGGACATGCCCAGCTGTAAATATTCCTTCTTCTTATTACTCTCTCTTCAGCTTGACGATAACGGCGACGGTGTTCAAGACATCGTCTTTTTGGATAGCCGTATGCCGTATCGGTCGTTGCCATGATTCGCGTTGTCTTATTTATTCATTTTGGACGAATAGCTGGAACACACTGGGCTGTCGTACGAGCTTAAGCTTGTCGCGTTCACGAAACTCGAACTGATAGTCCGTGAGTGGCAACTGTGCTATCAATTTCCAGGATGACAGATTAGTCTCGTCAGATTGCAGGCCATTGAGCTGTTGTAAGGTCGTCTCGATGAACGTTGGACGAGAGCACCTCTCCGGTACGATGAACGCCATGACACCAGCTCGCCACTCTCGAGCTGCATGCTGGAAGAAATGATGCACCAGGTCTCGTCCGTCGTCACCCCGTGCACCAAACGGTGGGTTGCCAATCGCCACTACCACCTTGTCTGTAGTTATACAACTCCTAGACACGAGGAAGTCGCCAAGACAGACCTGGGCTCGCACACTGCTGCCTTCATCTGGAATAGTTCCAGCAACACTCGTAGCCGATAGCTGTACCTTTTTCTCTGCAATGCTCTGCAATTTCTCGTCGATTTCATACCCGACAACATATTGTGCGCCTGCTCGTAGCAGTGCCGTCAAAAACCGGCCGTCACCACAGGACGGTTCGAGCCACACCACATCTCTCTCCTTCACGTGCTCCAGCACTCTTCTAATCACGAAATCTACCAGTTCTTTGCTGGTAAAGTACTGCTGCAGGTCTCTTGCATGCTTGTTGTCCTCACGAAGAGCCATCCGCTTGCGCTTGGCTGCAGTGTACAGATCATCGTCCAAAAACTCCTGCTGTTGCAGCGTCGACAACTGTGTGAACGCAGCGTTGAGCCAGTTTTCGCACGCTTTCACATTCTTTTGCAGCTCTAGACGCCAACCAGCACTTTTTTTACCTCGTATCCAATTGATCCTCGACAGTTTACGCAGTCGTTTGGTTGGAAAACGTTCGCAAGAGGACGACAAGGACGAGGCACGACGTAAGAGGCGGTCCCACCTCTGGAAATCTACAAAGTCACGTTCTAATATATGAACAGTCATTGCTGACGACCCGCAGAGCTTGCTGTCTTTGTTGCAGTCTTCTGAATGCGCTGTGGTCAACAGGAAGCAGCCGCGATCGACGCTAAATCCACGCAACTCGAGCATCCTGGTCATATTGGACTCTAAAAAGGTTACTGAGCAGGGTTACACTAGAGCGAGTAAAAAATGATAGTGTAATTTGGGAGAGACACAATTAATAAATAGCGATGTTTCCAATAATATTATTTTAGTATTTTTTTCGACCATTGTATTCTGATTCCTGCCACTAAATAGTCCGCTGCAGAGCTCAGTGTCGCTAAATACTTGGTTGTAAATGAGCTTGCAGCTGTAGCATACACGCTATGCGCCTAGATCTGTCCTCCTTTTCTATAAAAGTGCTTTAACGACGGCATGAAGACGCTGTGCTCGCAGGCCTTTGGGGCCAAAGACTACAATCTATTGGGCAAATACGTGTTACGCATAAGGCTGCTACTCACTTTGGCGTGTGTATAACTTGCTCTGTTCTGGTGAAGCTTGGGCACTATTGTGACAGCAGGCGTCACTGATCGCTTGCGGGATTTAATGCCGCTTATCATTGCTGTGGCTTTGCCACGCAGCAAAATGTGCAGCCAACGTGTTATGGTAGTTCTCAATAGCTTCTTAGTCGTTGGACTTACGCAAGGCCAGTTCAGACTGCCAGAGCTCCGCTTTGTTCGGTGTCCGAAGGGCACAGCAATGGCGCTCTTCTTGAGACTTGTCGGTTATGTCGTGTACATGGATTTGTACCGCAAGTTCCACCATCGCTGCGCCTGACACTGCGATGACAGCTTTTTTTGGACGTGAACATGCTGCAGAGTCTCTTAGGTAGCCGTAGGGCTACCGCTCACGGCCGGTACGCTGTTCGAAATGCTACAATGACGCCCTTCGCTGCGGCCATGGGTAAAGTGCAGTTTCGCATACACAATGCAATGATGGAGGTCTTTTTCTTCGCGACCAGTCCACATAATGCCGTAATTAGCGCTTTTTCGGTCATCCGCATGAGAATGTATTTAGGGGCTGGTAAGCCGACGGAGACTTCTAGCCGCCAAGGTGTGCGGCATCTGCATTGTATTCCTCACAGTGATAAACCGTGTAGTGCGCGGCGGCAACTCGGCCGACTCTTCTCCGACAACCCCAAAGTCATCGACACCTTCAGCCAGATCTGCGCGCTTGCAACGGTGCCCACTTTGTGATGGCCTTCTTCTACTGCGCCTTCGTGAGTGTACTCTCTAGCTTAAGTACATGTACAAACTCCATCTGTCTATTGTCTGACCGTACACGTAAATGTTCTTGTCGTACTGTGTAAATGTTCATGTTGTACTGTGTACTGCCGTTTTTAAACACAGGCACGACCCCATACCCAAAAATGGATGGCTTTGCCTGTGGAGCGTGGTGTGCCTGTGGCGTACGTGCTGGGTGTTCATCAGTCTCACCCGAACCTCCTGGGCGTCTGGTACGGCATGATATGCGGCTACGCTGTGACGTCAGCTATTGCGTTTGCCGTAGCGTTCGGGCGGCCCAACTGTCACTTTGAGGCTGAAAAGCTGTCGCGCGTTATCACGTCAAGGAAAAGCAGCTCCTGTTCTTACAGTAGCCGGACATGCTATTGTTATAGACGACCATAGTATTAGATATGATATCCGTGGACGGTTCGTTCGTTAAGCGAAACTCTCACGTACGTGATGCCGTCCCTCGCGCCTCGTGACAGCTACACGAACCTTACATAGTGTGAGGCATCCCACTGCGACGCGTTCTGGTGGTGGTCGCTCTTCACCGACGGCGACACATCGACCACTACAACATAATTCGAACGAGGGGCTTCAACGTGAGTCCGTCATGATGACTCATCGTCTTTGCACGGGCGCGTCGTGTCACACAGCAAGAACGTACACGGCGTGACATATATACGCATAATCATGTACCGCCGGCTTGGCCCTGTCGAGCCTCGAGGCTTTGCCACCACCGCCGCGCACCAGCAAAGTCGACAAAAGCCGGACATCTGAAAAATTGGTAGAAGCGTTTGGGACCGGAGATCGCTTGCTCAGAAAGGCATGCTACACGATTGTCTCTAGCCATTCGAGTTGTCAGCTTGATGGTTGGAACAGGATCCAAAAAATCCAGCGCCGCAACTGACGGACAGCAGCTACGTCTGCCTTTTCGATGAATCCAACGGCGAAGGTAGCAATTTCCACTGTACTGGATGGATTTATGCTGGTCCGAGGTCATCTACTGATCAGGACCGGATGGGTGGGTGGCAGTCGAACGTTGCTGAATGAAAGCCATCATGAGCCAATACGATGCCGTGCCTGTCCGGGCTGCAGCAAAATCCCTCGCGACATGAAGCTGGCTTTAAAGTGACGCCGTGCGTTTTTAACGTTGTAGACCTCAATCCGAGGTCCTCCTGACCATATGTGCCTAATGTGACACCGTGGTCGCCCCAAAATTTTCGGACCGAAAGGAACGAAATGCTGTCGCGGACACACATCGCCGTATACCATTGATCATGTCATCACTCAGCATCAGGCGATTAATTTCCTATCAATCAGATGGCATCAGTTGTTGTGATTGATGTCAATCATTCACGGTGTCCATTTAACATCGATGTCAATCATTCATAGCGTCCATTTGACATCGATGGCCACAAATTCCCTATGCTCAGGGCGTGACCTTTGCAGAAACATTCACTTCAGCATGATCTTATTCAAAAATTCTAGACCGGAATGGACTCGTGGGGACAACCGATTTGCGTTGCAAAAACTCGATATGCTATATCAGCCAATAGCGACAGTATTCAGGGCAACAAAAAGCCGGTAGTTCCGATGGACCCGCGACTTAAAAGTGCTGTCTCATATCGTTTGTAAGGACTATGCCGTCGCTTGTCCGTCTTAACAACTAAAAAAAGAGTCAAGTGGAATGGTTGCTAGAAATTTGTTTGGGTGTGTGCGTAAATTACACGTGCGCAACTCGTTGCATATAAGCTCTGTAGTAGGACGGCAATCGGCCACAAAGTGTTGCCAGCGACAATGTCGTCTGTCGTCCACGCCCCTTAAACTATAAGTGGCCGCAGTAGCGTGGGCCGGCCGACGCCTTGCTGCAGAGGGTGGCGGTCAGTCGAGGGTCCAAGGTTAGGATACTGTACGCAACCTGGCAGGGAGCGTGCCAGCGATTTGCTCGCTATGTATGTACCCAGGTATAGTCAACAAGCTGGCGGGCGAGCCGCTCCATCGGCCACCTGCGACTGGTTCGCTTGGACTTAGAAGCGTTCGTGTAACGTTATTCACTTATCGTTCCAAAAGTTGCAGACGTGCGTTTGCCTACTATAAGTGGCGACGCTATGTGATCGAGGCATTTTTTCTCGACCTCTCGAGCTTTTGATCTTCTTGTATTACTGCTGTTGGTATTGTTGCGTCACTAAAAACTACGCTGCCCGGCTCTGGGCGGTGTTGCCTTTAGCGGCGGTTGCGTGCGGGCTAGGGCGCTGTGGGTGCTCCAGTTGGAGGTCCAGAGACGGTGGTAGGATTCGCTGGCCTTTTCTTTTCGAACGGCCCTCGCTCCCGCGGCGCTGCTCATTTCTTCCGTTCATTCGATCATTTGCAGTGGCTTGAACACCAGACTCCCGTTCTTCCCCTTCGTATTAATTAAGACGACTTCTCTTTCGCTGATTATGGACATTACCGTTCGTGTGGAGGTGCAATACGTAGCGCCTGAACATGCGCTTATCCGTGACGTACTGCAAATGTTCCGCACACCCGCCTGGGTGCGCTTCATGGTGCGCTACATCTCACCCCACCTCAAGAACGCTGCACCTGCTGACAAGTCAGTCATGGAAAGCCTGTCCTCGTGGACCGTCAATAACAGCAGCAAGAGCGGTAAGCGGCCGATCTCATGCGTCTCCTCTAGCTCTTCGACAATAGCGGACGACTGTGTCATCTGCCTAAGTGAGCTGCAAAGTGACGTCGAAGAGTTTGTCGCGTTGCCCTGCGGCCATCAGTTCCATTTACCGTGCATCCGTTCGTGGCTCAAGCTGCGTAGTACGTGTCCAAGCTGTCGCTTCCAGTTCCGCAAGGCCTTCTCTGGTAGCTACGCCGTCCGGACGCTCAACTCGGCGCTACTGCTTAAGCAGGAACACCGGCCTTTGCCCAAGGAGCAGATCCTTAACACATGCGTAGGCCGTGAGACGATTCGTGCCATTGTCAATGTCACGTTGAGTCAGATTGCTGCACACGCCAAGCAGAGTCAATACCCCTGCGTGCTCAATGCACTCATGATGCACTCAAACGGCGATAGCTTCACGGAGTCAGTGGCGTCTGCGAGTGCGACACTGGCTAAGAGTGGTAGCGACAAAGAGACTGGCGATGGCGGTAGCGAACCCCGCGCCAAGCGACTACGCGTGGATTAAAGCGACGGTGAATGTACCGACAAAGCAGTGAAACTATCAGACTAGGGACTTTTGTAAACTATGAAATAAGAATGTATGTGTGGCCGATATGGTCGCATGCTGGAAATGCAATTAATGTAGTCAATCTTGTAGTAAAATAAGCTTGAGCACCTTTCAATATCGACTTCGGAAAAGGCAAATAGTCGATGGGACGACAATAGAAATGATGCCTGGGATCCGAGACCGATTACGCGTGTTGAGCGCAGGGCGTGCGTGGCCACCAACTGCAAGGTCTCGAGATGACTCTCACATGATCTGCTAGCGCTGAGCGTTCTTGAATTTACTATGGTACTTGTGCCTTGACTTATGCACATCGAGTCAAGCTTGAACGTGAAATTTGTTTCGAATGTCGCGCCTTTTATCGAAATGTGGGCCGCGCCACATGTCATGAGCACGATCCGTTGCTTGGACGGGACACGCAAGCGCTTCGTTTCCCTTGCTTGCGAACTTTATTAGTCGGAAGTATTGCGCCTGCCGCGTCTGACAAGCGGCTTACCTTCAAGCAAACAACATTTGTCCTTTGTGACCAACCACCACCATCTACCAGCGGTGCCAAGACTTGCAGGCGCCCCGTCTCCGTGTACGGCAGTCATCGATCCGTCTTTTTCTGTCTGCTGCTTCGTCAACGCGATGCGTACATAGACTGTACATGTATTACGCTCTGACCTTGCTGTATGTAAATCGAGACAACAACTCCGGCTCGGTGCTTACGCTTGGCGCCTAAGAAGAGCTAGCTATGCAACCCGATTGACAAACGCATGAACAAAAGATCCAGCGGGAGAACGGCAACCAAGTGCTCGCTGTCTCTAAAATCCATGCTGGATGGTACGAGACTGTTTGCACGTCACCGCGTTGCTGGAAACCATCGACCAGCACTAGCAGCTGGAATATTAGACAGAAAGCGTGCATACCTGGCATCGCATCGGCAGCTGCAAAAGTCGTCGCTTTGTGCAATGCCAATCAATCGTCAGCAAATGCTTAGTACCTGTAAATTCTTCAGTTTGCGCTAATTGACAAACGCATTCTGCCAAAAACAGTTCCAGTCGGGTGTAGAAGTAAACTTCAACAATAACACATGGTGGCAAAAATATTAATGTCGTTTTTTCATCTATCAAATTAATACAAACGATATGCTACTGGAACTAATCTCTACTTAAATAACCCATATTCTGGCATACCCGATAAAATAGATCGATTAAAGCGATCCTTCAAGACTAAATAGGGCCATACTCCAACGCCTTCAATTGAGGCCGTGGTGTCTCTGGTTCTGTATAAAGTGACACTTTACGATCGGTTCTGCATGGCCACACTATGTCATAACTTGAGTCGATTGCAGTTCGCTATTAAGGTGCACGGTGCACAAATTAGTTTTTTGTAGATAAAGACAATAGAAAACCATTGCCAACCTCATTATGTTCTCGTTCGTGTTCGTAATTATGTCGTCGTAAAGTATCTCGTCGTTTCTACCTGATCGAGAGAAAAGCCGAGCTGCACACCGCAAGCAGCACTCGTATTCATGTAACACAAGGCAGTTGGGGTCTTGCTAACGTTCGCAAACAATTTGAGAAGCTACATGTACGCCCTATGCTCGTTTGTATAGTGCAAACTCCGTGCAAAAGCTAAAGATGGAAGGCTGTGGTTCCGATATACAAGAGGTGCATCACGATGCATCCAAGGCTCGGACTTATGGAGACACAAGCGTAACGTCAGTGTTTTGATCATCACTTGATGACATGTCTACGACGGCAAGTACGGCGTGCTTAACTTTGATAAGGGACCGCAATTTAGTGTCTACGAGAGTCTCACAATTCGTGAAATAGCCTCTCTCCTGAAAACTCGAAAGGTAACACAATGCAGCGCTGGCAATAAAGTATATGGCCCAGTCAACTTCATCACGAGCGATGAATAGAGCTGCTAGAAGTAGCAAGAAGGAAGGTGCCCCGACACCAAGTGTGCTGCATCGTCCAAAGTTGTCACCTTTTGTCCATGTTGTAGCTCTTTACGGTGGCTGAAGCGATGCAGAGCGACGAGGGTCCAGATTACTAGCTAAAGAATTTGTCTTGAGCGGTAGAGAGGCCAATTCTTGATTTCGTAGAACACGTTCGTAGAACAGGTAGTATGCTGACCTTGGAAAGGGTCTTCAAAAGTACTGTGAGGCAACTAAAACGTGCCATGAGCTCTTCATGAACGCGACACGGCTTCGTATCTACACACGACAGTCTATAAATCGACGACGAAATGTATTGACTCTGCTAAATGATACCATTTTCTTCGTCGATCTAGGGAATGTCGTGTTTTATAGATACAAAGTCGTCGGCACAGCTTTGAGTATGTTTATCAAGTCAAGGGCATCGCGTTGGTAAACGAACAAGAAAACGAGAAATCTGTCGACCACGACCGGAAGAGTCACGAGCTCACGGCTTCTAATGCCGACCCTCTTCTCTATCTGCTGTGTCAAGAATAAAATAGCACGATTTCCAGGACCACAAAAAGTTAGAAACTCCTTTTGCTGTTTGTCGTGGAAGATATCCCAGCTTCGGTTTCGGCTCCTTCATTGTGTACCAACATTCCATTATCTTGACAAGTGTGATTCACAACGGGTTTGCTTAGCTCCTGAATGAAACTCGAACGAGTGTGATTTGAGTCTCACCGACAGTTACTTTGGGCATCAAGCTCGTCAAGTAAATCATCTTCACACCAGACGTAAGGCTTGACAAAGAGTGCACACGCCTACACGCGTTGCCAACTTAATTCACTTGTGTCATACGTAGTTTCTTTGGGCTGATGCTTAACTTCGATAGGTTTGTAGTGCACTTGGCAAGAGCGCAATTGGAAGGCGACGATAGAATGAATCGAACAGGAAAAAGATGGGAGCGACCTCACCGAATCGACGTCAGCACATGCCATTTTCTCGTCATTACGAGGAAAGCGATTTGCCGTCAATCGGAAAAAGTTTCGAAGACAACAGTAGTCTCGGACACCTTTGACAGCACCAGGGTGTCAGCTAGTACACGAGATGTAGCAGAATTGAGACTGGGGAGAACGCACGCAGCACATGACCCGCCGGTATGACTGATCCTCGTTGGATGATCAGACATCCCCCACAACAAGGACAAACTCGGAAATCCCCAGGGATGCATCGCAGCTAATTCTTTGACGAAGAAGTCGAGTGCACGCACATGCGTCAGGTTCAGCACACTCCATTAAGAACTTTACTTACTCACCAGCTTTCCAGTAAGTCACGGCAAGAAACTGTCCTATTCAGTGCTACAAATTTTACACTGGAGCGTTATCCCACCAAATTGCTATCGTAGAAGCGCTTGCTCGTGCAATATTATATCTTGGTTGATAAAGTGACCCGCGCCAGTCAAAATGCACTCGACTCATGCTCGATCGACGAGTACGCCAATTGGGCGGTGTCGTTTCTTAGACGAGGGTTACCACCGAAAACAGGTTTGAGGTACTTCTCGTCCAGCTCTATCCATCTGCTATGCACACTTCGGGAGCCCGGCGGAGAGAGCGGTGCACTCACAAGCGGTTGTTTTTCGGTATTCTCAACGGTGTGGTTGTCTTCACGAATAGTCGCTCCCTGTGTAGGCCGAGGAATTTTCGTAAGCCCCAGGACACGAAGAAGTGGCCCCGTCGCCATGCCGAAGAAGACAGTCGTAAACAACACCAGAAAAAGTGTTGAGCTCTTGAGAATTGCTGCATGGACAGGGTTGGCCGTCGACACATTAAGCGCCAGCGCGAACGCGATTGCGCCACGCAGTCCCGAGAACCAAATCACGATCATGTACTTAAACGGGATTTTTTGTTGCTCCGAACGTTTGCAGTTGGCCAGGAAACACAACGGGAACGTATTAAGTGCTCTTGCCACAAGACACGCACCAAAGTTTGCAAAAATAAAGCTCCAGTCCCAGACAAGCGAGCCTCGGTACGCAAAAACACTCAATCCAAGATACAAGTAGATAAAGTTCTCGGCCAAAAATGCCATTGTCGAGAGTAACTGCTTGAACGCAAACGCACTGGCTTTTGAAATGTTGTGCACGTGGTAGTGCCGGATGAAAACACCACTAAAGAACACTGCCAACAGTCCACTAAGTTTAAAGATATCAGCCGCTAAATAACTTGCGTAGCAGGTCAGTAAAATTATTGAAATCTCGTAGGTTGCATGTTGACGCAGCGCTGGATCTGAGTGGCGTAAAAAGAAGGCAGACGAGTAGCATATGGCTCCAGCTAGAGCGACCGATCCGACACCAATACTCAGCAGTCTGAATACCATGACAATGGCTACATGCACGTTGACGTCCGAATTGCCACTTTCGACAAACTTTTGGAATAATGTAAAAATGACGATAGCCACTGCATCATTGAGCACGCTCTCTCCAAACACGAGATTAAACAGCAATGATGGTGCTCTGCACTTTTTGAACACGATCAACGTAGCCACTGGATCGATGGCGGAGATGAGAGATCCAAAGAGAAAAGCTTCGGCCGATGTCAATTGTGTAATGACACCCATATTACCGAGCCAGATGAGGATCCCACCAGTAGCAAGAGTTGCCACTAAAGTGCCAATAATTGCCAGCAATAAAATTGCAGAAAAATTGCTAAAGAAACCTTTGCGCTGCGTGTTGAAACCCGCTTCGAGGATAATGGGAGGCAATAGCCCTAAAAACAGAATCTTCGGGTCCAATTTTGCATCTTGGACATGCTAACAAGTAAAAAGAGACCAATTAGTGTGAGAAATGGCTACAACACATGGCTACATTGAAATGCCATTTATGGTCGCTACAAGAAGTAATTTACAATAAAATGGGTACATTAAATGGGTACACACCATTTCCGACACAAGAGTGAGTAAGGCACCAGCCAGGAGACCACAGAAAATGGCCCAGGACGACGTGGACAGTAATGGTGCCTCTTTCATGCGATCAATACGGTACGCTACGTTCACTAATAGCAGCTGAATCACGGCACACACCAGCAGCTCTGCGCCTGCCCAGCGCTGCTGTTGTTCCTCGGCTTCGGCTGTTAGCTGCATTTTTGTTGGTACTGTTAAACTTTATTCACCCAAACTGAAATGTGGGTCAAATAGTTTTGACCAAAATTAGAGGGTAGGGTTTAATATCACCTCAAAAGCTAAAAACCTGGACCCATTTCTTGACTACCATAAATGTACCCATTTTACTGAAATGGGTGCAGTCTACTTACAGGCGTTGACCCTTTTTCTAGTTGTTGAACCAGAATGCTTTTTTTCTGGGCTTCGGCGTTACGCGGGCTGGTCAACGCCATGAGCGGGTGTAATTATGCTGCAATGAACGTGAGTATTGGTTTGTTTTGGCCACTGACGATCAGCGTCATCCAATCGTCCAGGGCATCGACTTCTCGCTTGATAGAAACTGCAAATTTCGAGGTTTTGGGCTCAAGCGATGAATGAGACGCCGCCAAGTGAACGAAAAGCGCGCCAACTGCGTGTTCAGCGATGTGGATGACGTGTTGAGTGTAAACGACTATGACGTCAACATTTTTCCAGTTCGATGGACTGTTTCCAGGATATTGGAGGTTTCTAAAAGCAAGAAGACCAGTCTTTATCAAAGTCGGATACGGGCATGTGATCAGGGATCAACAGCTCGACGCCTGGTCGCAGTTACATAGAATTTACATAAGTAGGTAGATATTCAATGCCAGTAGAAGAATAGCGTGTGCTGAAGAGTTTGTAACAGGGTGTGTCGTACACACTCTGTTAGGTACGCTTTAGCGTACCCTCACATCATAGGTCAATTGTCATGACACGTCACGTGTACGCTAAGGACGGTTGTTACCACGCTATATTTGGTAGAACTTTGTTGTCCTTCTAATGTCCGAGTTCGAGATGAGCGATTTCTCGTCATTCGCGACCTCAGAGTGATCTGGATTTTACGCACCTCACAAGTATAGAGTGAATTGCCCTCCACCGCCTCGATGCAGTGTCTGGTGCGATTGTCGTGATGAGCATGTAGTGGAGTGAATGTTTTGATGACGTTAAAGATACACAAACACACACAGCGCCGGACTGCCGACTTACGGAGGGGGTACCCCCATACCGTGTCGCGTTAATTATAAGTCTCACCCGTCGGCTTCTTGTAGCGGGTCTTGAGGTGGTGCGACTCGAGACAAACCCACAGACCAAAATACTTTTTGGGGTTCTGTTCGCACTTGAATCTTACCACAAGACTATCTTTAACGGGGGGGGGGGGCAATATATATATTTTCCCCGGAGCAGGTGGGTAGATCGAAACAAGTTCCCACTCGATTTTTGACACCTCAGGCCAACTATGCTGAGGTTCAACTTGCGTTACTTGAGCCGTCTAACACTTGCTGACGTCGGGGGGCCAAATGGTATCCCGCCCGACGTCAGGTGAGGTGATGGAGAAGCTTAAAGGAGGCGCTTAGAGCCACCACGTGTAATGCAAATTTGAGTGTGTTTATTTATCATATGCTCTGTATGATTTTCTTGACTAACCCTGCCCCTCCTTGCCAAACCATACTTCTTCAATTCTGGATGGGGCCACGTGTCAACTCTTGAAAGAACAGCTGGATATTTAGGACTCTCGACTTGTACCAGCTCTGCACGGTAGGAAAAACTTGTACCTTCTATGGCCTCGAGACCCTGCACCCTCATGAAATTGGACCTTTGGGGCCCTGTACTTGTGCAGGCTCTACACTTAAGGAAACCTTGTAGCTTCTATGACTTTGGGGCCCTGGACCTTCGAGGTCTGGCCTTGGACTGGCTTGCGTGTAGGTAAACCTTGTACCTACTGTACCCAGGACCCTGGGGCCCTGTAATCTACTCCCCGGCGTAACCACTCCCTTGAGGGAGTGACTATGATTTCTCACGCCATTTATTATATAAACTGCAAGCGCCTCGATTTTTCTGGCACTTCTCCAAGAACACAGCGATGCCCGAACAACAGCGTGAAGTCATTAAAGATTGCATGATACACGAGTTTGCCGATGCGAACAAGCGAGTATCAACTCCCTCGCGTACCTTGCGTTAAGACGCAATCAAGATGTAGACATCTACCTACTCCGGTATTGGTCCTGATCGTCTTCCTCTCAAACGCTGGCTTAGTGATATTTGATATTGCGATCGTGTCAAGGCTAATTGATGCGCCGACGTCCAAGGTCAGTTTCCTGGCGTCTCGACTCGTTGGAAAGGCCAAGAAATGGGCTCTCAAAGCTTGTCGTCGACGAGTCGGCGTTCTCCACGCTGAACTCCATCCAGTGCGACTTACAACTGGCATTCGAGCCTCTCCAAGATGAATCTCGCTTGATTATGCCGACTTCTTTTCACTTTGAGAGGGCAAGCTGTCGATGCGTGACTACGTGCAGAAGACACGACACCTTGCTTCGTGCATTATCACGCAGCCAATTGACCTGGAATCACACTTCTATGTATTTATTTTCTGTATGCAGGAGGGAATGAAGCATTCCTGCCTCACACGTGCTGAGCCACAGTCCCTCGAGGAGGCATTGCCCTCGCGCTTCGTGAAGATTACACTGTCGCGCCGTCGTACCTCACAACATCCCCGGACGTCTGGCCCAAAGCCAATGGAACTCGACGCAATCGAGTTCTCTAGTGGTCGCGGCAAATCATCAGGCCGCGACATTTGCAATCATAACACGACGAAGTGTTTTCATTGTAATAAGACAGGCCATCGTGCGGATGTCTGTTGTGGTGAAGTGCTAATTTTGTGATATGGAGGTCCCGGACTCCAGTTGGATTCAGAGTATAGGCCGTGGATCAGGGACAGGGGACCAGAGAGACAGGGGCCTCAAAAGGGGAGCGACCGTTGGTGGAGGACAATCCGCAGGATTCGCCGAAGAAAAATCAGTATCAGGGTACCGGTTAACCGGTACCAAAGAGAGTTGATCATGGCCGCTCATTGATCGACCTGGCCCCTCGTTGGTCGACCCGGTCCCTCATTGGTAGACCTGGGTCCCTCATTGGTAGACCTGGTCCCTCGTCGGTCGACCCGGTCCCTCATCGGTCGACCCAGTCCCTCGTTGTTCGACCCGGTCCCTCATCGGTCGACCTGGGTCCCTCGTTGGTTGACCTGGGTCCCTCATTGGTTGACCTGGGTCCCTCATTGGTCGACCTCGGCCCCTCGGGGTTCAGCGACTCCGGACCAGTTAATACAAGGATCAGACCAGTCGACGCAAGGAATCAGAGCTTCAGGCAAGGATAGAGTAAAGGAGTTAAAAGGATAGGACTATATTAAATACTACTCAATTTGCGATCTACGTGGCACGACTCCGTCACCCAAGAAGGACTTGTTCTAAGTTACTCACTGTTCCGGGAAGGGATATATTTTGGCCCCCCGTCGAAGACAGTTGTGTAGCGAAGTTCAAGGGCGAATAGAGCTTCAGGATATATTTGGCCTGTGAGCTCGTTCGAGTAGCAACACCCCCCAAGACCCGCTATCGGAAGCGGTCTCCCTCACCTCAAGGTCCGGGAGCAACGTAAAGGTCAGGTGGTTAATACCCCTGAAACAGAAGGAAAAGGCCAGGGACGACAAGCGCCCCTGAAGAATTTGGCTCTAAGTCCACTCTCGACAAGGTCGATCGAGTGGCCACCTACCGGCCCACCGAGTGAAGCATATCCACTCGAGCCCCCCCCCCAGGTCTACCTCCCTCAAGGCAGACATCTACATCGTCATCAAGTCCTCCGAAGAGTGCAACCCGCCAGCCGACGGGTACACAAGGTGAGAGAAGGTTCATACGCGGCATCGGGGTACCCCCTCCGACAGTCGGCAGTCCGGCACAGTGAGTGGTTTGGGGTCTCATCATACAATTTTGAGAACCCACTCCACCACACTGTCGAGCACCAGTGGCGGTGACTGTGAAAACGCTGTCTCACGAGGAGATTCTGTGTCGTCGGTGGTCCCGCCAAACGAGCAGTTCCAATGGGCGCGGGGCTCCCTACTGGAAGGAATGGAGCCCCGAGTACTCATGTGTCAGCTCGGGCTCCTAGCCACAAAGTGATTCACACTCACTTCAATGTCACCACCATGCGAGGCAATTTGAGACTGATCGTTGCTGGGGTGAAGCGACTACTCCGAGCGTTGTTAAATTCTGGCGCTTCCAACTTCTTTCGTGCATCCTGTTTTTCCCTTCTCCCGTCCACTGTCACGGTTCGAGAAGGTCCAGGTGACATCGTTGTCAAACTTTCCGATGGACAACCAAAACGTGTTCCGCGTAAACAGTGGTTTTTTACCGTACACTTTCGACGGTTTCCAGATTAATAAAGAATTTTATGGTGTACGAGATGAATTATGCATTTGATTGCATACTTGGGATACCGTGGCTGTCACGGTATCAGCCGAAGATAGATTGGCTATCTCGGCCCGTTAAACGACGAAGCGGATATGATGTCTGTAAAGTGTTCACTCATTTGTTGGTCGCGTCATCCGATTTGCCTCACGTCAGGGTCGTGAACGAACTTGCCACGACTCGTAGTCAACACAGAGAGAGCTATGGCCCTCTGTGCGCAGTATGTTCCGTTAAACTGATGGAGCCACAGAACGAGGCGATCGAACAGCGGCTCCCGCATACACAGACATCGGTCGAACAGGGGTTCCCGATTCTCAGCGAAGCGGTCGAGAAGGGGCTCCTGCATAGAAGCACATCGGACGTGCTGAGGCTCCCGATCAATTTTGAGGCGGTCGCGCAGGGGCTCCCGCGTACACAGACATCGGACGAACAGGGGTTCCCGATTCTCAGCGAAGCAGTCGAGCAGGGGCTCCCGCAACCATGTGAGGAGGTCGACGACGAGCTACCGCCTCTAATTGACGAAATTGGGCGGAATATGTATCCGCATGAGACCGACGTGGTGGAGACAGAGCTCCCACGTATAGAGGGGGGGGGGGTACATCATCCTCCTGTGATAGCGACGTGCCTCTGCTCGAGACGCAAGAGAAATTTCAAGAAAGAAGCACGCCGATCACCAAAACGACGACATTCACGTCAAAAAGCTGATGCAGATAATGTCTTAGTGGCGTA